CAGTATTTCATGCCGGCTCAACGCCTGCAACTTTACTAGGCACAGGTTCGGCCTCACATGGAATACTGTTCCCATCTCTGGGCTGGGGCTCCCCAGTTCGAATCGTCGACGACCGAGTTCTTTCCGATCGTCTCAACTCATTGGCGTTGCGAAGAGATGTTGCATTTTCTTTCGCATTTACCACGGGGAGTGCTCTGAGGAATTGCTCGGATTAATCCCAGCCGCCAAATTTCACGAACGCACATCGCGGCAGAACTCCCGATACCATCCACACCATTTGGATGATTGGCGGTCCACCACTGTGCGATTTAGAAGATGTTTTCTTCCTCGCACAACTTCCTTGTGGAATAGTTTACCACCAGCGATTTTTCCGGACCGATACGACTTAGGGACCTTCAAGAAAAGAGCCTACTCCTTTTTAAAAGGCCGGCAACGCTTCTGCAATTCCCCTGATGTTGCGGTTGTTCGTGGGCAGCGGTAGTCACTTACCATCAGGTGAGCCGCTTGCTCGTGTGCCCCCTCTCCTATAAAAAAAAAGCTGTACACCTCATCGTTGGAGCCTCACGCAAGTGTGAGTAACGATGCAAGAGCAAGTCTTATCCGACCTTATTCTGCTCGGCGAGCTATGGAGAAAGCTATGCGCGGGGTTTCTTTGCGTGATAAACTTAGAAATGCGGATATCCGCAGTAGAACCGACTAACTGACATAGCCCAACGGATTAGTAAGCTGAAGTGGTAATGGGCCGGCCAAATAGCTAGAAGAACCGACAACAGATTTGTGAAGGGCTATAATGATGATCATGATTTCGAATGATTTTTTTTTGAATCGCTTCGATTTTATTAACGTAACATACTTGACACGCAGATTCGAGATGGCTACGAACCAGAGAACAAAACAACATTTTCATTAATTTCAACTGACGGAATTCGTAACAAGACCTTATAATAAAACCAAAAAAACAAGAAACATTCAAATCTAATTTATAAGGCATACAATAATTATCTAAATTAACAAGATCATCAAGAGAAATAGGGACTCTTTATGATGAACTCTTTTTTCATAAAGTGGGGCCACAGAAAGTCGACCTGGTTAACCCTAGGGCAGAAGTTTTTTAGTTGAACTTGAATTTTTTGTACTTGGATAGGTTTAGGAGTGTATAGGTATTGAAATTATTGTAATATGTACTGTTACGTTTCTTAAAGAACTAAGACCATTTTTAGGGAAACATTTTTGGGTTTATTTCAAACCGCGACCATTTAGGGGAAAAATTTGTAAATAAAAACTAAATCATATTGAAATATTTTTATTTAAAATAACAATATTTTCGTATTCTTTTATCTTAAAAAGTCTTAAATTGTGGCATATTATGTGTAATAAATACCAATAGTGAGTCAACTCGAGACTAGCAACGATGGGCCACGGTATGAAGAAGGGCGGAGCGAGGCGGTTGAATAAACAGAAGCAACGGATAATTTTAACCTGTATTATTTAATTTGCTTAAAATATTAGATAGGGGTTGCTATCTAATATTTTAAGAGGAATACATGAGATACTGCTATATAGGTAAAATATAGTAAAATTAGCACAAGCCATTATTTCCATCACGACGTATCAGGTGAAGTTGCGGAATGTAACTAGTTTTATAAAGTAGTAATTTGTTTGTATCTTTGTATAAAAAAATACATTATTACGAGGAATACTGATAAAATATTGATTTTATTATGTAAGGAAATGTTTTTGTGACAACCCTTGCATATTTTTAGCGACTTGACGTCGAGACAGCCTTCTAGATATTTTGCGGTATAACAAAAGAGTTGACCCACTATTAGTATTTATTACACATATGTCAGTGACTAAGAATGGAAAAATAACTTCTTTGTGTTATAAAACTATATATGAGAATCGGGGAGCGATGAGGTGAATCTATTTCCATGGAGCCATTTTCTGAATCTTGACTAGACATTCTTCTTGCGATTACATTCAACGGAATTCCTCCTTCCAGGTTTGGGTCTGAACTTCTACTGATATGCATGGCGTTTTTATTCCGTTCATTATCATTACTTGGAAATACATCCATACCGCCCATGACACCTATATATTCCACTACCAGACGCTCTTCTAGGACCTCGTATACGAGTACGCCCTCGTCCTCGTGCTCTCATAGGCCCTCTAGTATGAACACGGTCTCGTCCTCTTTTTTTTGTCGGTACTGCTGGAGATGAACAGGTGATATGGGTATTAGTGAATCACTACTCATGGTTGGAGCTTGTGAATGATGTGGAGGTCTTTCCGTGATATCACTATGAAAATCTTCAGCAGCCGCTAATCTTCCTGAAATGACGTTCAAAGGTAGATCGTCCGCAGTGTCTGAGTCCCCTCCAATATATGAATTTTCGGCTTGCACGTCATCCATGCCTTCGATCAAATTGACTAACTGATCGTAGGGCATGTTCTCTAAATCCTACTAATACTAATATAACCATGTCCAGCTGAGGGTTTTACGGACTGATGATATAGAAGAAAAAAAAAGGACGAAGTAAAAATTATGTGCAGCAAAATGTTGGGCCATGATCGCCATGCTGGGACTAACATTATTAGAGGTTTCCGCTTTGCAAATTATTTCAAATATGTATTTCTAAGCTTTTAATGGTACTGTGTTCATAGTCTGTGTTCATATTTAAGAGGAAAGCCCTAAGTAAGAGCTATTTCTTACATTTACATACTAATACTAATACTATTACCACTTGTTGATTTCAAATCGTTATTGTACTTTATAGGTATAAGTTGGGATTAAGATTTATGCCCCAAATTGAAGGAAAATACCTAAATTATTCATTAACTTGAAACCTTGAAACACGTAAATATTACATTTTACTACATTTTTTTTAATAACATACAAGACACAGTCGCTTTCCCATGTCGTAAACACTTATACAGAAGGCACAAACGTAACCAACAATATGTTGCACCTTACCGAGAAAATGTTACTAACTTCACTTTTGTGGTTTCGCTTGTTGCTTGTGTCCATTCAAGGACTACTCATTTAAACAATAAAGTCGATTATTAATGCAAGTAATACTGAATTATGACCATTAGAGTCAACCTTGTCGGGTGGTTGCAGGTGCCAAATTTATTTCGCTTCTGCGCGACGATTCTAGAAAAAATGAGATTGGCTTTTTATGACGACCAGACGACAACTGTTCAGTGACGTCTCAGTGATCACGAGGGTAAAAAATTGACACGATCACCGAATGGTAAGAGTCATACGGAACCTTAATGTTAATTTTGAGAGGTGACGTCAACGCTACGTTCTCCTCGTGCCCTAATCAAAGAAATCTCTAAACGAAGAACCCAAAAACTCTCACATTCTGAATCTCATGGCTGTTGGACGGAAAATGAAGCTATAGTCTTTAGCAGGTATGGCAGCATACAGGCAACTGAACAGACAGATCTGCAACTATATGCGGCGAGACTTACTCATCCTTAATACAGCTCGTATTGAAAAAGAGATTGAGCGGAACTAAGACCCCAAAGTCTTTGCAGAGATCTGACTGCCGATAAGAGCCAACTGTGGAAGTTGAAAACCGTTATCATCAGACACATTACGATGATATCTCGAACTACATAGCGAAATCAGAATGGCTCTCTAGCATCTGAAACGGCAAGGCCCTGGGCGAGCATGAAATTACAGCGGAGCTTCTGAAAGCGAGTGGGAAATTGGCACTAAGGAAGTTCTTCAATATCGGCTCACATGGTGGCACTACTTCGGAGTCCTGAAGAAGAAGTGGTGTAGTTTTTTGTTCTTCAAGAAAGGCGACAACGCTCTATTGAAGAACTACATACCGATTTGTCATCTGAGCCGCATCTACTTGCTGTTTTCGAGAGTCATTACAAATCGTCTCGTACGCAGACGCGACTACTTCCTGCCTCCCAAACATGCCGGTGTCCGAAAAGGCTTTAGTACCATAGACTACAGTATCTCCTAACGGATAGCTCTTAAAATAAACAAGGACAAAAAAGGTCCTCAGTAACGTCCATATCATACCTGTTACCGGTAGTTGTTGTGAACAATACGGTCGAAGTTGTCAAGAAGTGTATTTACATACATACATACATATAATCACGCCTCTTTCCCGTAGGCGTAGGCAGAGACCAGTTCTTTCCACTTGCTACGATCCTTACATACTTGTTTTGCTTCGTCCACTTTCATTATTCCCTTCATACATGCTCTACGGTTTAGGGTACTCTTGACCTGGCCTTTTTTGGAGTGTATTTGCCTAGGATAAATAGTCCGATTAGTTATGTCCAATTTCGAACGAGAAGTCTATGGACGGATTCGACCGTGCAGCGTTCGGGAGATTACGATTCATCTCTTAGTCTTAATACTATAATTCTAGTATACCTCAAAACTTGAAAACAAAAATATAAAACCAGTGCGTGGTGCCAAAGAAGACATTATAAGATATGCAGATCGAAGGAGATTGCATGATCTATTAAAAGCACGTCCCTGTTTACTTTTATGAACTCATGTTCTTAGAAATTATTTTTATTTTGCAACTTTTACTTTTGTCAAAAGTCTTGCCTGATACTGTTGCTTCCAACCATGCTTGTTTTACAATACGATTCTATTTCTATCTACTAGTTTTTAGCGGATGCAACGCTGCTTACGATCTAAAAAAGCAGCTTAAAAAGGCCGTGGACAGGCCATTAATCTGCAAATCGCCTAAACTTCCAAAACCTTGTGTCACAATGTGACGAATCAGCATATTGTGAAGAATTTTGTAAATAAAATACACATATAACTAGGCTGTATAGCTTATGACCTTTGTCTGCCTTGATCTGCAAATCCTAACAATAACAACAAACAAATCAGCGTCTGTCAGTTAGCTCTGTCAGTCAGTTATCAGTTTCTATTTCTATTACCATTTTCCACTAAAGTGTATCCAAGTTTTGAGAATTGTATTCCTTTTAAATGTTGTATTTAGGAATACGGTAATGCAATGAACGATACAAGATCGTTTGGATATGAAAATGGTGCTGAACCGCCACCACAGCAACCCGCTGTACCTGTGTCTCCGGTAAGTTACGAATTTAGGTTAATTTGCATACTATGGAATATGAAGAAGAATAATACATACATAACAAATAACGCTTTGTTGAATAGGCGCAGTACAGATTTTCGCCGGACGAGTTAAGGGTGTTAGCTGAATGCAACACCGAGAGTTTTTTGCAGCGGTCATTACCATTTGGTACTATTTTCGGCCTTGGTACTTATTTAGCTGTACAAAAAGGTCAGTCAAAACTGGGAACAACCTATTTTTTTTTCTTTTCTATTGTGTCTTGCGTTAATTTTATGACTTAGTGTAACGTATTGGCAACATATTTTTTTTTACTATTATAAGCCAGTGCTTGACTGCTATCCTACCTGACGATAAGTGTTCATGCAACCGAAAATGGTAAAATACACTGAATTCTTAACAAAAACCTATTCACTTAGTCCTTGAAAGCACTTACATTATTATTAGATGTAAGGGCAGATGCTGGTAAATTATTTCAATCCTCTGCTATACAAAATTATGAATCATGAAGTAAACAATTAGTTTTGAATGTGTGTTATGTTAACAACAAAAGGGGTGGACACCAGCTGAACACCTTACAGAGAAGGGAAGAATTAAGTAATTCAGTTTCTGTATACATTATCTGAAGTGTATACTGTAAACATTGAAAGGCTGTTTACTTTGCACCTGTGTTTGAGACTTGTAAAATTGATTGTAATGATATTGGTGCCACTAATAATTCTAAGCACTGAGTGCAGTCACTAGGTGGCATCTTGCAAAACCAGCTCATACATATATATTGAATATATGTTTTCATTAAAATTATTTTAATATATTTTATAATAATATATTTTTTACATAAAGTACAGTTACCCTTGGAATATCTTTATGCAAGTAGCAAAGTAAACAAACTGGCTTTGTTGGGATGCTGTAAAAGGTTTTATAATGTCCACTCGCTTTTTTCGTATTATGGTGTCTAAAAAAGCTGTGAACATTGAGTTGTTTGCAGGGTTTGAAGATTTATTTGTTATATTTGTTTTTATTGTGTGTATTATGTCTTGATATTATTCAGTGTTTTTAAATACAGAATGAGTGGAAAAAATGCATAATATAATAATTAAACAGACAAAATGAGCTTGAAATTGATACTGACAGTAATATTAGCTAAGTAACATTTATATTATGTTTTTTTTTAAATATAGATCAACCTGTGTGCAAGCTGGATTTAGAAAGGGGATGGGGTGTACGGATCAAGTCTTTTCCATGCGCATGATAGCGGAGAAGTTTTTGGCTAAAAACCAGAAAGTTTTTTGTGCGTTCTTGGACTTGGAAAAGGCTTATGACAGAGTGGACAGGAACGTGTTATGGCAAACACTGAACTCATTTGGGTTGAGCGCTGGCTTGATACAGGCATTAAGGTCTCTTTATAGGGACTCTAGTGCTTGTGTCAAGATCAACGGGGTCTACTCGGACTGGTTTAGCATTCATAAAGGTGTCAGACAGGGATGTGTGGCTTCCCCGTGGCTGTTTAACCTATTTATGGACAGTTGTTTGCAAACTTTGAAAGTTGAAGAATGTGGGTTGAGAATGGGTGAGTCAACCGTCAAATGCCTTTTGTACGCCGATGATCAAGTCATATTTGCATCGTCGGCGGCCGAGTTGCAAATGATGGTTACTTTAATGAATTGTTCATTGAAAGAAAGGGGTATGAAAGTGAACGCAAGTAAGACGAAAGTGATGGTTTTTGAAAGAGAAGAAAGTAAAACTTTATGTAAAATAAGAATAGAAGGGGAGTTGATTGAGCAAGTGGATGAGTTTGTATATTTGGGATGTTTATTTAGCAGGGATGGTAGATATGATAAGGATATAGAATGACGAGTGAACGCAGGAAATAGAGTGAATGGGGCTCTACACGCTATTGTGAGGAGTCAGAATGTGTCAACTAAGGCACGTATGGCAATTCATAATGCTGTGTTAGTACCCACTTTAATGTATGGTAGTGAAAGTTGGGTCTGGCAGAAGAAGCATGAGAGTAGAATAAATGCTGTAGAAATGCGTTCCTTAAGGAGTATGCTAGGGCTGAATCTGAATGACAGGGTGAGAAATAGTGTAATAAGAGAAAAGTGTGGTTTGCAAGATGACGTTGTGACAAGGATTAAGAAAGGAATGCTTCGGTGGTTTGGTCACGTAGAAAGAATGAACGAGGAAAGAGTGACAAAGCAAATTTATGTTGCAGAAGTGAACGGCAGGGTCGGGAAGGGACGCCCTAGACGAAGGTTTATCGACCAGATCGGCGATACATTGAAAATGGGCCAGATTAGGAGTACCCTTAACCGACGAGCGTGTATGCGTAGATATATGGATGTGAAAGAGGCGAGAGAGGTGTGTCAGGATCGCGCCAAATGGAAGTCCGTAGTCTCTGCCTACCCCTCTGGGTGACAGGCGTGAGTGTTTATGTTTATGTTTTTATCAACCTTATTATTTTACTTAAAATTAAGTAACAAATATTTTAAGATTATTCTTCTTTCTCGCAGAATGAACTACCCTCCCTCACGAACTCTAAGCATCTTACTCCTTAAAATAGAGTCCTGACATTATATGGAAATACTATAGAGACACATTTAATTTTTCAATTATTGTTCTTTTCTTCACATCTAGGCATGTGATGAAGTAATTTCAATGGTTCCAAAGGGAATCAAGCATTTGTTCCACTTGTGTGAAATTTATGTCATGTTGCTGTCTCGTTGCCCATACCACAGTCTGAAGACAAAAGTCTTCAACCAAAGTGTTCTGCCCGTACTTATGGTGCCAATACAAGGACACTGACGATACGGCTACAAACTCAAAGTTGGTTAGCGAGCAATGGAAAGAGCTATGCTTGGAGTTTCTATGGCAGATAAAATCTGAAAAAATCTGCTGGAAAACCAAGATTACTGATATCGCCTTCCATGTTTGTAAACTGAAGTGACAATGAGCTGGTGATGTCTATCGCAGAAGTGACGACCAGTGGAGTAGATGTGCTATGGAGTGGAGACCACAACTAGGCAAGCTTAGTGTGGGACACCCCTGACTAGATGGAGCGACGATCTGCACAGGGTGGCTGGTAGAAACTAAATGCATATAGCCAAAGATCGGGCTAAGTGGCGCGCCTTGGAAGAGGCCTATGTCCAGTAGTGGACTGCCGCAGGCCGATGATAATGATGATGATGACTGAGCTACCACAGCCCAATATCGATTACACTCATAGTTCAAAATACGGTGATAGAATTTTATTTCTATACGAGTTCCAAATTACCTTACTGTTCAATTATTTGTCATCAGTCATCAGGATAAGTACTATTACACCATTGTAACACATGTACACCTTCAACTAATTTAATAAAGACCCCACACCCTGAAATAGTTTCTTACCTGCCTCTTACGTTTCAAATCAGATACTTATGCTTAGGGATTTGCTAGATTTACATTGACTTCATACTTCTTTATTAATGGATCCTATTTCTATTTAGGTCATTTGAAACCAAATCCTCGCTTTGGTGCATTTCCAAAGATGACCCTAGCAGTTGTTGTGGGTTATTTCCTTGGCAAGTTATCGTACCAACAAGCTTGTGCTGAAAAACTCATGGCTTTACCAGGCAGTTACATTGGACAGCTTCTTCGTGATCGTCGAGATGGAAAAACTGGGTAAATAATCAAAAACTGAACTTATTTTACTTGTAATATGTTTTAAGATTTTGTATGCGCTCATGTTTTTCACTATGTTTTAGAATTATGGCCTTATTTTAATAAGCCTTAAAATATGCTATTTGTTGTGTTTATTCTGTGGGCCAAGGTTCAAGCAGGTTAAGGGGTTAATAAGAATCTGGTAGATTTTATAGACTTTGGGATTGTCATCTCTATGAAAGTTTTTGGTTAGCTTTAGATTTAAAATATGCTTTATATTTAAGATAATGATGTTGATAACAACATCCTGTTCAGTTGATAATTACTCTATGTACAACTTAGATGGCAACTATTAGTACCAATTAATAAAGAATTTCCATATTCAAATTTTAGCACAAACCTATTTTTTTATAGAATAAGGGTGACAAACGAGCACACAGTCCACCTGATGGTAAGTGGTTGCCGTGGCCCATAGATATCTACATCTATCTTCGTTTGCGAATTAAAATGCAGATGCATAGTTAGCCGCGAGGACTATTGGTGCTACAACTATAATATTAATATAGCTGCAGCATGGCTCTACCACATATAAAAAATTTTTTGAGCATTCCTGACATTTCCTGTTTGTCTTTGTGCAGTTTTACCATATTGTAAAATCAATCATAATTTAGTAATAATTTTTTATAATCTATAGCTTTTCTACTATGTCAGATTTATTCCTTAAAATGCACCCTTAATATTAACATCCTATATGAGTGCTGTATGAATGTAGTGAAGAGGGTTTGATGAGTTAATTGCATCCATGCTGTAGCATGTATGAGTTGGTCTGTGCTGGGAAGTATCACACAAGTCTAAAATACCAGCATGGAACATCATACAGCAGATTTTCATATGGTAAGTGACCAGACTCGTACCTTTTTACTTATAATTGGTGCATTTTGATTCTCAATCAAAGATAAATATAGGTGTTGATGGTATGTTGTATATATTAGGTACTACTACCTTTTAAATTATACTACAAAACACTTTCCTTCTGCAGTGGTCTGAGCATTGAACACCTCAGACCTCTGTCAGGTATAGATATATTAAAAAAATTAATTAATTGTGAAGAAATTGGTAATGGCTGACTTAGGATTGATTTAGATATAACTTGTCACTGCTAATTCTTATAAATAGCATGAAAAAATGAAGTTAGTTTCATACTGCATATTTTATTTTGTATGCAGAACCACACCTCCCAGACAAGCAACAACAATGTTTGGGGCCACACCAAGCGACATCTACTCAGATGCTGGCCCTGGCAGCTCCCTTGATCTTGATACCGATCGCCCACTCTTCAGTGATGACTCTTATCGGCCGGATAATAAAGGTAACCTTAAGAAAGTTATTTAATTTAATGAATATAACACGGTGATTATAGTTAAAAAAATAATTCAAATTTCTACATAGTGTTCTAACAAGTCAACACATTTAGTTCATATCTTTTCTATACCCAGAATTCCCTTAGAAAAAAAATCTTTATCTTGAAAGCCTCAATAATGTCCATCACTTCGCTATCATCTGCAGATTTCTTGCTTCGAAGGTGTTCCTTGAGCCGAAGAAATAGAAGTCACTGTTAGCTAGATCTGGCGAATAGAGCGGGTTTTCGCAGTATAAATCCCGTTTCTTGAATGGCAACCATCGCAAACTGCGGCTTTGTGAGCCGGAGCATTGTCTTGGTGAAACAGCACTCCATCTCGCAGTTCGCCGTGTCGCGTTTTCCTCAGTAGCCTCCTGCAATATTCATATGAGGCTTGCGTAGTAAGAGCCGCAAATAGAGGCTCCCTTTTCAAAATATTCCACCATAATTATTTCTTCAGTGTTCCAAAAAATGGACACTATGGTGATCTTTCCCGCCGAACTTACACTGAATTTCTTCGGCATCGGTGAGGAGGCTCTTTTCCAAACGATTGATTGTTGTTTGGTTTCAGGATCAAAATGGTAAAGCCAGGTTTCATCCATGGTCACGATACATCACAAAAACAATTCCTGATCTGCTTGGAACCTTTCAAGATTCACCCTCGAAATGTCGACTCGTTTTTTCTTTTGCTGTTCGCTTAACATTCCCGGTACCCAACGCGCAGATCTTTTTCATATGCAATTCATTCGCATATGAGATCCATCCTTCGCGTTATTCATCTTCCGTGGATGTTCTGCCCAGCTTAAACTTCTTTCTTTTTTTAAACAAAGGTGCTTAATGACAGCTCTAATTTCGTTTTACTCCATTTTGATGTCATCTCTTCGATGATTCGTATTCAAATGAATGTAGTACCTCCCGGGAATCAAAGCCTATTTATGTACCACTAGATCAGGATAAAATCATTCTTTAACCTGATGTAGTGATAAAAAATATTTTTTAATTTTTATGTGCACTGGAAATGACCGATTATCATTACTTTTGGATCACACCTGGCATGTGTATAATATAACTTCTGTTAATTATGTTATTTTATGTTTTGCATAATTAAAATGATAATAGTAAGCATAACGTGAATACCTAGTGTAACAAGGATTGCCGAATTACCTCTTTGTATTTATCTGTGCATAATAAATTACAAAAGTTAATTTCATAGATCAATCATGATTAGCTTCTAAAAGCGGTAAAAAAAAGCTATCAATTACTGCCACACCGGAAATACATAGCATATTATACTCTTACAATTTGAGTAGCCCCTCATCTGAACCAAAGACTTCTTCAAAGAGTCTACATTGAGGGCTAGTAATTTTCTGCTCACCAGATGTCGAGAGAAGCACATTTTTAACTTTTTTTCTATTTTAATGAATATCTGTCGTTTGGTTTATTTATTTTTAATGTTATTAATATAAAATATGGCTAATAGTACAGAAAGAAACAAAACTTTTACATTTTCCTCCTACAACTTCCCCGCTATGAAATATGTCAAATATTATACCTCACTTTATAGTCGCCTCGCCCTAGTGGCAGTAAAAGTCGTGGATGCCCTCATTATTATTGTCTTCATCCGCCTGACTTTTTTTTATTCCTAGTTGTCAGTCTCAGTAGGTACCATCCACTCCGATCTATTTCTGACCGCCAAGTAGCAGTGTTTACTCTGGTTTGTTATGGTATGAAGGGAATAGGAGTCAGTATATTTACAGAATATCAAGCGTTTCATTTTAGTCCTTACCATCAAGTGTACTGTAAGTTAATTTATTTATTTTTGTTTAAACATAACATACATACGTGTGGGAAGTTTACGTACATACATTTCACAAGGACAAACTCATCCAAACCCGAAGCAATTATTTATAGGCCATACTTGTTACTTGCGAGATTCGAACACGCGGCACCTAAGCGCTGCAACTCATTCCTAAACCAATGTGCCACGGAGCCGTCAGTTTGTTTCTCACTTCAGTTAAAAAAAATAATTTGTTACAGTTCCTAATGTCAGCGCACCAGAAAATGCACCACCACTACCTCCCCTCTCTTATGATGACTTACGCCGTAAGAACCGTGGCGAGTTTGCTGAATCCCGACAGGATCCGTACAGGTAAGTTTTCTTTCCCCTCAACAGATGTATTATGACTATGGCACTAATGGACTGATTTCGACTTAACCGTGGAAAGCTCACACTCACAAAATACCACCGTTAATTGCAACATAATGCTATTGTGCTGTATGGTGCGTGACGTAAACAGGAGACACTATTACTGGAAATTCCATCTCTGTCATCCAGGTAACGCATTTGCATTTCGATTTTTAATCTATGGGCCATGATATTCACTAGCCATTAAATGTACGGTGTGCTCATTTTTCCATTATTTACATAAGAAAAATAGATAATTTCTCTCAATGCTGTCCATTTCACGCAATATTCAAAAGTTCTCACAATCTGTCCTGTTAAAGGACTTTATCAGTTTACCACGATTTATCGGAGCGTGGCATTTCCCATAGTTAATTATGAAGCAGTTTCCAGTGCGTATTTTAAAATTATAATTTTATAAAGGCAAACTGCATCCAAACTTACTATAATTTAACCATAGACTTAGAATATATAGACGGCAATATAGTACGATAGAAAATGATAACAAATCTCATGACTGTATCTGATTTTGAATGACAGGTCAGCACATGTCGACACGCAAGGAATGAGCTTCTAGGTATTTTGGATTGTTTTGAGTATAATAGTGGTTATTTTAAGTATGTAATTGTCTCCAACAATGGTTACTTGTTCTGTGAGTGACTGCAGTGTCAATAATAGAAAGAATCCAGATAATTGCACATTTCACAGGTAAATTCACAAGACCTCCTCAGTGCTATGACGCATTTATTTTTTGTTAAAGTTTATGTTTATACTCTTTAAAATATAGAAATTTTCAATTATTTTGTTAATTATATTTTATAGAGAGAAAAGTGATGTAGTTGATAATTTGCATGATTTTGGTGAATACATTTTTCATCAAAATATTTTACATGTACGCTAGGGATAGACGCAACTTTATCAAAATCAATGTCGATATTTATCTTAAATGTTTATAGTTAATTTATAGACTTGCAGCCTACAGAACAAGAGGAATGAAAATAAATACTCGATTTGCGCTGTAAAAACTTAACTCTATTATAATTTTTACTTTTTATACTAAAGTCAATAGTTTAAGTAAGGAAATTTGTAGGAATCAGTTAAATAAACATGTTCTGTTTAAAGGACAAGGAGTAATTGTAATTAATTTATTTAAAAATTATTTTGAAATGTTTGCTGGTGAAATAAAAACGGAGACACTGAGTACATAATGACTGTTTTATTTTTCATACAAGTTTCATACAGCTTCCTGTTAATATTTTATTAATATTATGTTAAAAAAGAAATTCCCAGGATAAACTTTCTGTGGTGTTCCGCCACTACAATAAATGAATCAACCTGGCAGTGACAGTGTCCTCTCGCATCACTTCCACGCGAAACGCCAATGCAAGCGGACGTTATCCTCCAGCCGTCTCTATTACTTTAAACTCAGTGTTTTATTGGTGCCCTCTGAAAGTACATGCACGTGTGGACACCACACTGTCCATGACAGTAAACATTTTTCGCCCATGATCATGGCTCATATATACAACTTTCTGATCTGTTTCTTGGGGAAAATTGTTTAATTTTATGAGTAGACTTATGTACCTCTCCTGAGATTATTGAGATTGAAATGTATAACATTTTGTGGTAAAATCCCAAAAAAGGCAGGCTGGTTCAGCTTATTCCCGCTAACATGTTTTTTTGAATAAATAAAACAAATATAATTATTTATTTTAGAACTACAATGGTAAAAAATCAATAAATTTTGCAGTTATTCAATTTCGTGTACGCAACTAGCTAATTTTGTTGAACCTTTTTACCATTACCTTGCACTTCCAATTGCAGTATTGTGGTCGCTCTGAAATCATTTATCGACAGTCCTTAGAGGTAAAATATACATTAGTAGTTAACAGGGACTTGAAAATGAAAATTTCATTTTATCTCCTAACGTTCCAAAGTTCGTAACGATACTAAAACTACTACTCAATAACGTTATAAAAATAACGTTAAAGATCATTTTCGTAGAAAAATATTTTTCGTTACGGTATCGGTAACGTTATGCCTATATCCGCTTATAAGATCGTTACGGCTGAAACGTTACAGATTCATTGTACACTGCACTTCCGCTCCGTTATCGCACGGCGTACGTGCCACCGCCGGCGCCGCCGTATTCAAGCATTACCATTAAGTTCGTTAGAGGGAGGGAGAGAGAGAGAGAGAGAGAGAAAGAGAGAGAGAGAGAGCGCATCGCATATTATATAAAATATGTAAAGCATGTGTCACTATCTTTGACAGATTAATAACGATATATCGCTATAGTAATAACGATGTTATATCGTTATATTAATAAAGATATATTTTTAATATTGTTATTAAATAGTTGTAGATTTCGTTCCGTTTGTTAGTATCGTTGTAGCCAAGGAATAAATTTTGTTACGATCCTAGTGGAACGGTGCGAATTATCGTTACTGGAACTACGCGTAACGTTTCAAGTCCCTGCTAGTTAACGCACACAATGACAAATGAAAATTTGTCAGCCGTTTTCGGCCTGTCAGGTCGTCTGTACCCCAGTATATTCTAAGTCTAGGAATTTAACTTACGTGGTAGAGCCACGCTCTCACAGAATACCAGCGTAGGATAGCAGCTCAATGCTGCTGTGTTTCGTATGGTGAGTGTAGAGAACCGGAGACCCTTTTTACTGAATACGGATTGTTCCACCTTAGTTGTCAGGGGTAACTACGCATCTGCATTTTGATTCTTAATCAAATATATATATATATATATATATATATATATATATATATATATATATATATATATATAAAAGAAAACAAAGAATTTTCACATTCTCCTACAACAGTTGAACTATCTTGTATCTTATTTGGTATTTAATGCTCTCCAAAAAACTGTATTAAAATTATATTTAAAAACATTTTTAAAGACATTAAACAATATATTGGAGACTGAAGACGCGGAATGCCTACGCTCGTGCCACTAACAAGTGGCCGGCCGCCCGGAATGAAATATCCGTTAAAAAAAATAGTGCTAAAATATTTTCGTGTACAGGGTTGTCACAATACAATTAAAAATAATCGCAGTTTGTCCTTTGTTAATTTGCCAACAAATATTCGCTAAAAGTCCATTGTTAAACAAATACCTCTCCATAGATTGCCTCGTGGAAGGGATTTTGTTATAAATAAGACGCTAGGCATGCGGGTTGGCGACCGCAGTTTAGTTTTTAATATTCTCAGTTGTTATTAGGAAGATGCTGCTGCCAAATTTTATTTCAGCTTATTTGCAATAAGCTAGCTATTGTAATAGGTTGTAGTTACCTACTATCGTCGTGGCGAATAAATTGTAAACATGTTATTATGTACATTTTAATGTGGTCATTAATAAATATACAAATAATACACGTTTTACCTCAACTAACATTGTTGGCTAGACATGTGTAACACCGCGCTGCGCCGCGCAATTGCGTCAACTCATTTCACTGTTCTTATGTGTTTACTCGCTTCTTCAAAATGTGTTGGAGCACAGCGCCAGGGCCGGGAAATTCGAAAGGTGTTAAGGTGTTGTGTTGCCCGCAGAATGCAGAGGAATGTTATTGAACACTTGTGATATTGCACGAATCTTATTTTATATTATTTTTTTTATATTTTGTGAAATGTAAAAGGAGTGACAGATGGCTGATTTGACAACTGTGTGTAAATTTTATTATATGCGCCGGAGCCGGAGCAGTCAACTGCGCCTGAGTTACTGAGTTGACGCAAATAATGTCTCTGAGTAACCCATGCATATCATTGGTAAAATTATGGTAGATGACATATGTGGTTCCATATGGCTACATACTATTTTATATTGAATTAGATTACCGTTTGGGGTGTTTTACCCGCGTCTAAGTTGTGACATCCAGACATTAGATATAGAGAGACGCTTATCATAAGGTCGTAGAGAGAGAGAGAGCTTGAAAGCTGCCACATAAAAATATTTCTGTGTTTGAAATGAGAGCTATAGTAGATTTTAAGTTAAGACTGGCGACATTCGAATAGTGAAAACCGCATAATAAATTCTGAAAACCGCATAATAAATTCTGAAAACCGCATAAAAATTCTTTTCGATAGTTTTACGTGACGCGCGTTTAATTTACAATTTTATAATAGTATATTTTTATTTTTTAACAGGCGACAGGGAGAAGCTAAAACATAAAATTGGCAGCAGCTACATACTGATAACAACTCAAAACAATAAAAAATCGGTTGCCAGCCCACCTGTCAAGCGTGGCAACTGTGGCAAAATCTCCCCTATGAAACGATCTATCGGGAAGACCTGTGTTCCGACCTGTGACCTGGATGAATGCTACGAATAGTATATTTAATATCTTATATAAAATACAAATGTCTTGTTATAGGGCTGAGGATTACCCATTCCATGCCCTATTATAGAAAGTAATAAAAATGCATGTAAATGAAAATCATGTCTGTTTTGGGAATTCTAACAAATGTGTTCTAACAATTGTTTTCTTTTTCTTAAATACCTACTTAAGCACGCGGTGCTGTTTGCTAATTAACGAACGAGCCTCTGGCTTTTTCACCGACGTGGTGGTGGTAAATGCATTCGTTAACGGCGACCACAACTCTGCAGAATGGTGGGTGATAGAGACCCTTTTTACTGGTAACGACGCATTCCATGTTAGTCCTCAGAGGTGACAACGCATCTGCATTTTGATTAGAAATCGAGGGTAGATGTAGGTGTGTATGCGTCACAGCGCAGACCCACCATTGGATGGATTGTGTGTTCGTTTGTCACTCTTATTTTAGAGCATTACCAACCAGAATGGGGGTTTTGGTTCTGCGATCGAGAAAAGTGTGTATCATATTGTAAAAGTATTATGCCCATAAATGTAGGTACCAACTTGATACTATAATATATTAACAATTTTCTTTCAGAATCGATCCGAACGCAGGTCCACAAGTATCCAGGGCGAGGCAGCCCCAGCCTTCACCTGCACCAGCGCCCCCCACCACCAACAAATATGGTGACATCATGGATTAAAAATACATACTTAGAAGTAGCATAAACATCTAGAAACCGTGGCTAACAATAGACCGCTGCACTGACACAAAAAGTTTTGATTGCATTTATTTTCAGTGTTACCACTCTCGCATTGTACAAACTGTACTGCCTTTACGCAGTTCGAACTTTTTCTACTTAGCATTTTTAGTAGATGAAAGATTTCGCAAGCAACGCTTAGCAATAAAAAAATCAATTTTATATACACGGTTCATAAGAAAATTAAGTAGATGTTTTAATAAAAATCAATAAACATATTAAAAAATAAGAGACTTTCTTTTTCCATCCTTCATAACCGAACATACGTCTATCAGTTTGATATTGTGTAAAATATTTTACATAACTAATAATAAATTCAAAAAAAAAAACCTTAATTACTTACCCGTTTACACAGATAAAGTAACAAAAATAACACAATGGTACAGAAAAACTCTTTTCAACTTAAATAAAATACTAGTCGTGTACATTTATGAACATTTATTTAATAGACACTAAATCGATTAAAAGTAGACTACGTTGTTATATTCGTGAATTACAGATTCATAGCCATACATAACATTCGCAAAAATAACAGTATACTCTCGCTTTGCTGAGATAAAAATACATGTGTATGATAGAAGCGCTTCGCAAAATAAAACACCATTTACAAAACATAGTCTTACTAAAGTAAATGTTGAACGACCAATCGAGAATATAACTTTATTATTTTTACTCGCTCTGTACCTTTAAACATTAGGATGTGATCAGTTTCGTATCTGAGATATATTTGTCGAAAATATGTATAATATCGCCATGCAGTAGGTACATATCGAGAAAATTGATTTCTGTATAGTAACTATTGCAATTCTGTTGCGCTTTATTAAATCTATAGGATCTATGGTGTAAATCAAATCAAAAAGCATGGTGAATTTCATAACAGGAACATGTTTATAAAGAAAGGTAAATATAAAAAAAAAACTACTAATATTCAATTACACGTAATAAATATAATAGGTAAACTATAACATCACAGTATTTTGTGGAGAATGAAACAGTTTTCAGTCATCATTAACAAATGAATTTCCATTGATTCTGTCTGTCGGTAGGACGTCGGTTAAAGGTGCTTTTATTTGGCCCATCTTCTTTATATTGCCAATTTAAAAATTAAAAAAAAAAAAACATGGTGATGGTTCACTTTCATATAGTACGACCCTTGCCTACTCTCAAATCTGCAGCATAAATTTGCTTTGTCACTTCTTTCTCATTTATTCTTTCTACGTGTCCAAACCAGTGAAGCATTCTTTAATTAATACTAACCACATCTTGCAAATTACACTTTTCTCTTATCAGATAATTTGTCACCCTATCATTCAATTCAAAAAATATCATTCAATTCATAATATACTTCTTGTGACCTCATTTGTGCAGCATTCATTTTAAGCTCACGCTTCTTCTGCCACGCCCAACTTTCAGTATCATACATTAAGATAGAGATTAGCACTCAACATTGTGTATTACCGTGCCTTTTTTACACTTTCTGACTTCCTATAATAAAAGGTCCCACTGTACTTCCTGATTTCTTTCTTCGATCAACATCCTATTCATGTCTGTCGTCTCTGCCGATCATCCTAAATACACAAACTCATTCACTTGCTCAACTAACTCCCTTGCTATTCTTATATCACATTAAAGGGTCCCACTCGCTCTACGTCCTGCTTTCGCTCTTCGTTCTAACATCCTATCTATGTCTACCATCCCGGCCGATCATCCTAAATACACAAACTTATACACTTGCTCAACCAACTCTCCTTCTATTCTTGTATCACGTGTAGTTAAATTTTCTTCTCTTTCAAAACTATCAGTTTCGTCCTACTTGTGTTCAATTTCGTTCCATTTTCTTTTAATACTACATTCATTGTAAATCTATTGCTACTAGCCCGCCAATGACGCAAATATGACTTGATGGTCGGCGTACAAGAGGCATTTGAGGGGTAACTAACCCATTCTTAATATACATTCAAAGTTTTCAAAACAGCGACACGGAACTCACATGACCCCGTTTGACACCTTTATGGATATAGTCCGTCAAGGCGCTGGTACTCTTGATATATTAGCGGCTAAAGCTCGTAAAGCTATAGCCTCTAGTATATCTAACAATGCCCTCTTCTCTTTATAGAAGAGAAGCAAACGAGCAATCGCCTCAACTGATGGTAAGTGACTATCACCGCCCGTGGACAACTGCCATACAAGAGGATTGCAGGTGCCATGCCGGCCTTTTAACATTGATTAGGATCTTTTCTTGAAGGTCCTTATGTCAAATCGGTCCGGAAAAATCACTGGGAGTAGCCGATTCTACAAATAAGTTGTGCGATAAAGAAAACTTCTGGTAAATGGCACAGTGTTAGACTGATCCAGATGGTGTTGATGGTATCGTATTCGTATTCATACCTCGTTATCCTACTATAATGTAGTATTACTTTAGTCATTCATTCCCTTCTTAACTAAATCCCATACAATCTTCAAGTCGGAATCTTACATTCTATTCATTCATCCTAATCAGAAACGCGTTCGTCCAATTTCAGTTGACGTTTCTCTTTCACATCTTCATCTTGTAATCTCTCGATTCTTATACGCTGTTACGAAGTAGTAGTCTGCTAACAAATGTTCGATGCCTCTAACCTCAGAACAAATACGTTTATCCGACATAAAACTAATTAATGATTCCTCCATACACCACTGCCCTCCTCATTATGCCATAAATTTAGCTAACCCCACTACTTTTATATACATTTGTTCAGAAATCATTGAAACACACCCGTTTCAGCCTTCAATCTGTTTAACATATCCACATTACAATAAATATCTTTGTAAATTATACAACAAAATAGAATCTAGAAGAATATATCAAAATATAAACAGTTGTACAAGGCGAACAAATTTACAAAAGTACACCTATATAAAGACTTCTGTACACATCTTTAGTCGTGACTAATCATATTCTATGATTAGACAGACTTAGATCTATGCTTTTCTATAAGAGCTCACACGTAATCTATTCAGATGTGTATGTGAAGTTTTTTTACAAAATCTATATAGCTGAGCAAGTAAGTTATATGGACTTTAAAAGCCAAGTAAATTCTATGAAAACATATTGCACTTTGAGTATTTTTGTATGTTACTTATATTATAATAGTTTTCAAAAAATCATTATTATAGATGCAATACAATATTTATATTTATTTTGCTTTTGTTAAATGAGAATTTTTTCGACGTGTAAGTTTTCGCCATAGAATTCATTAGCAAAATATCTGTGATATAATACGGTTATACACTTTAGTAGTTTTTCTAACAACAAAGTAAATGGTAGATACCTATGATTACCGAACATTATAACACCTCAAAATTCCCTATAAATATAAACTAATAGGTAGTAAAACTAATGGCTGATTCACACAGGTTCAGTAACTGGCTCCAAATTCCAGGCAAGTCAGTGCTGATCCGATACTGACATAGTTTAAATTGAATAGAAGTCAGGACAGCGCTGTCGCGCCAGTGCTGACTTCAACATTCCTGCTTGAATATTTTGAAGTCAGTCCGCTACCCCCGCCACCCGCGCCAGCGGTATTAACCTTGTCTAAACGACCAAATCAGTACATGGTCAGTCGCTGGCGCTGCATTGTAGGGTGACGTCACGTCAACAACAAAGCGAAACCTTCAGTTTCTTTTCTGTCGTCTATCCATATTCTTATCCAAAGTCGTTTCTTTTTAAATATCTCTTCAAAAATTTCCGTCAACTCTTACAACAGCAGATAGGAACATTTTCTCAGGAAATATTTCAATCGTTGTAAATTCTACCATTTCCTTGGATTCATTTTTGCCTACTGACTTCAGTAACGTGCGTACACGCTGAAGAAGTTACCACGACTACTGACTGCATGTAAACAGTGCACGTCAGTCCTCGGCGCCAGTACTAGAGCTTGTTACTTACTGACCCTGTGTAAATCAGCCTTTAACCATTTCCCCCCGCTGTTTCTAATAATTCGCATGTGACAGTGAAACAATTTTTATAGATAAAAGTCTTTTACAGAAATGTTGATAATTGTACGTTAAATCGTAGTAAGATGTCCTTATAAATATAAAATATATATATATAAAAAAAAAATACAGAAACATTTGAAAAGCGATAAAGGTAGGAGACTTCACAACATTTGCTTTGCACATTTATAAAATACAACACTAATTACCTCTACACATAAATTCTTATTTGAACGGAACCGAAATATTTTTTTCTTAACAACTAGCCCAGCTAGGGCTAGTTGTTAAGAAAAATTTGGCCCAGCAGGGCCATATCTAATAAAAGTTACAATTTATAATTATGATTTACATTTTACATTTCACCTTCTGTTCAATAAAAATTTAAAAAATACAATATTGTCATGGTGGAATATTAAAGAAAATTTAATACAGTTTTACATATTTCTGTTCAATAATTTTTTTTAACTGGCAGACAATTTGTCAGAAAAACAGTTTTCTTTTTTAATTTTTCTTTCATAAGTATCCGTAAGTAGGTAGTTAATTTACATTTTTTTTTTAGTTTCTTTAAGCAATATTTATTTTACTGTAGAATTCGACAAGTCATATTTTAAATTATTGTAACGTTTATTAGAGAAAGCGACTACGGTCGATAATGTGAAAAAAGTACACAAATTATCATATATATTTTAAGTGATAAAACAATCAGACATAGTACGGCGATTTCTTTACTTCGAACTATTCGAAATTAATATATTTTAATACAAATCAAAGTGATAATATCAAGTTCATATTTCCTTGAACTAAGATCGTTTCAAGTCCTTCATTAATAGAAATACGTACACAAGCTACACTGCAATCGCATTCAAAGGCGTTAATCATCTGGCGCCGAATCTTTTTTTTGTTAATTTGATTTATACTCCTATATCTACGTCCAATTATAAATAGTAAGTTTGTATTGGCATACAATGGTCAAGATTTACAATGTGTTTACCTTTTATATTACGAAGATACATACCGACTAATCTTAGCTCTTCTATTTAGATCTCAGAACTTTTTCGACGACGGTTCTATTAACCTCTTCCCAAACACACATACAAATTCGGTTTGTTATATAAATATAATATTAAAATTAAATATTTACATATTTATTTTTTATGAATAATCCTTATTTATAAAAAATAAAATGATATTTCACAAGTCATAATTATACTAAACATAATACAACAACCTTAATTACAAATGAAAAACTATTCACAAGTTAGTAACAAAATAACTAAGATAATAGAGATATTCCATTATTTTACACATAAACGGATAACTAACCATAAAACAAATTAAAGCTATTAAATGAATAGTGTGGACAAATGAAACAGCGCGTTTTTACAAAGGAAATGAGATTTGATATGATTATAGATCAAAACGTCCACTGTCAGCACCGCAAAAAATATCACATCGATCAACCGAACTAATTAGATCAAATCTAATCAGGTTTTCAATAATTTAAACTTGCAGCTGCAGTATCCAAAATAATAATTAACAATTATTTTAAAAAAGTTTTCCTTGAGTAAGTAAATGTAAATTAATTAGTTAATATATATAATAAATAGAAAAGTATTTTAAACTTTTGAATTGCAAGAATCAGTACGTACGTGCAAAACTTAAATGCGTCTTAGAAGAGGATGTATTATTGCGCAGAACGTCATTTTAAAGATTAGGTTGATGTAGTGTGGGCGGAATTCGAATAAAATTAAGAACTGAGATTTTTCAGTTTTGTTTACGCTACTCGTATCACTTGCGCTCGCGTATATTTGCGAATTATATTAATATTGTATTATAGTCTTTATATTTACATAGATTACAATACAATACACAGACCAATTACAATAAAACAGTTTGTTTTGTAGCGTTGTTTATTTAGCTGGTTCGGTTATATTTACTAATTTACTATACACTATGTAATTATAGCTGTGAACTTTTAGTACTAGTACTAAACAAGATAAACAATTTATAACGTTTATAATTGTTTTTGGAAAATATTTTGTTTGTAGGTACCCACGCAATGGTGACGGCTGACGGCTTCACTCAACGCCTTTAAGTTTTGCGCGCGTACAATAAGAGTATTTAGAAATTACCTTACGTTTTAAATTTTAAGTTCGCTATCAAATTGTTTGGCAAACAAGTTTCTAAATAAGCTTTTTTCTCATCATAATTATTGTCAATATTTTTATTACCTATATTTGAATTATAACACTTTTACTTATACCATTATAGTCTTATGACTTTGAATAATACGAGTAATAAAATGGAGTGAACCGAAGTTTCTTTTTGTTATAAAATACGAATAATATAATAACGAATTACTAACAACATCAATTATAAATGAATTACAACCTTATAAATAGTACTTTCCGTAGGAAATTTTATATATACCTACGCGTATCATGTATTTGGTCTTGTTGATAAGTCATCAAAAATATCCGTGCACATGTGACGAACTGACGAAACTGAAAGGATTTTTACGTTATCGTCGGCTTATATCATATTAGACATTAGAAGAGTACGTTATTGAAGTACATTAATAGAAACGTGATATTCTATTCGCCTTTCTACTAAAATCAAATTGCATCATTTTATATTTTCCACCAACTTCAAAAAAGGATTTCAATTCGACTGTATGTTTTCTCTTTTTTGTAAGTTACGCGAGCGATATCTTCGCAAATTGTGTAGTAGGCTATACTTGATAGATAACCCCATTAAAATTATGTAGAAAAAATTCTATAGGATGAGTAAGGTATGAACATTTGAATGTAACTGTTAAGACAACATTCTAGTAATTACATTCTTAGTCCGCTCAAAAATTAAAAAACCATTTATGTTGATGATTAAGCTGAGGAATATAATAAAATGGACACTTACTCAATAAAAATTGTAAATACTAACGTATTTATGATAATAATAGATAACAATAGTAATAGAACCAAAATGACCAAACTTCTCTGTGTAAATGTCATTTAATTCGGTGGTAACAAAACTGATTACCTATGTCATTTAATATCGAAAATATTGTAATAGAATGACGAAATATTTATTACAACAAAAATCAAAATTTAAACAAAAATCGAAATACAGAATCGTATTTTTTTAAATATCCTATTTTATTCATGTGTTAATAATACAACACTACAGATTCAAAAGTTGATCAGTTACAACAGTTTTCCATCACTATAGTTCAAGGTGTGAAACCAAAAACCTTATTACTTGTTTATAAAAACTAAAAACTAAAATTACACTGTATTCTTCACTTATACCGCCGTTTATTCATTATAAGAAATTTGCTTATGGTAGAGGCCAAGGCAGGCCAGAGTAATTGACTGATCCCCCAAGGCCAGCATCGGCTTCTAAAAGGCTCATTATAACGGCCATTGCAGCCTCTCCGTTTCCATCGAGGCCTGCCGAGGGGAGAGACGGGGAAGCGGGAGGAGATGTCGTAGGAGGAAGACAATCGCTGGCAACGGTTGGCGGTGAAGAGTTCTCCACACCTGCGGCACTGAGTTGTACATTGTTGCGGATTTGAGTGTAGTTGCCCATATCCACGCCAAGGATATTATCAACGAGCGGTGTCTGCTACAAAAATGTTCAAACTTATTATTTGCTGTATCAAATCAGAAAATATTTAGACTTAATAGTGTTTGTTTCACAGTACGCAAGCAATCGGAGTTCCACTAAAATTACTGTTATTAACTACCTATTCAACAATCAGTCGAGGAAACCTGTATGTCAGAAAATTAAACTTGGTTTGCATGTGCCAACTGAATTCTCTTCAGTGCAGTGTGACCGCGCAAGCGAAGTTTATAAATACAAACTGGAAAAAGTCCTTGAACACTCATCTGAGTTACTTTCAGCTGTTATTTACCTTTTGGCCACTCTCACCGTTCGAGCCTAAAACTTCGCCAATTGCGTGTAATAAACGGCGAATCGCGAAACCTATTTTATGTGAGGTAGTCAGTGATTGGTGTTGGTGGTGACCTCGTTGAGGTGTGATTAGAAAATTAATCTAAGCAAACAAGCCCCCACTACAAGTATCAAAACTTGAAGGTTCGTACCGACTTTATACATTGACGAAGGTGTAGTTCATTTTAGTAAGCATTAATTAACAAATTAAAGATTTAAATGTACCCATTGTTCAAGGTAAGCGAAGAGATTGCAACGCGCCATCACACTTGCAATCAAAACTACACTACTTTTGCAAACCTATTACCAAGGCTACATAAATAAGTAGGTATAAGTGCAATAAGTATTATTTGATATTTATTGCACCTATTTGCCATTTGCTTAAACAAAATGTAAAGGCTGTATAAGTGTTGATCAAATACTTTTAAATTCCATAGAGTATTGTCAAAAGATATCGTTAAATATTTTAAAACTATTGATGTTAAGGAAACGTCTATAGGCATCTATAGCATATACAAGAACGCCTCATCTAGCCACTATTTTTAATACAAGCGTCGAATCTGGCGTGTTTCCTGATTTAATGAAACAATAAAGTCATGCCTTTTAATCTTATTCAAATCTGGTAGTACATTAGACCCCGCCAATTTTAAATCAGATGTAAAGTATTTTTTGATGCAAATAAATTGCTCCATAAAAATTTATTTCGTTTTACAAGTTTTTTGTGTATGGGAGAAGTCAGAGGATGCTTTGGGTATATTTTGTGACTTTTCAAAGGCCTTCGACTGTGTTCACCATGAGACATTAATCAGGAAGCTACAGTACTATAGTGTCAAGAACACAGCGCTTAAACTTATTATGTCATATTTAAATAATAGAACACAGCAAGTTATTATCAATGGTAAGTTCTTCCGGGTCACCTGTACTAATGGGTGTTCCCCAAGGCTCAATTGTTGGCTCATTTCTATTTCTAGTTTATATTAATGACTTACCTTCCCTTGTAGGAGATAATCATGATAGAGTATTATTTGCTGATGATACTTACTTAATTTTTAAACTTAAATTTTAATAATTTAAATGAGACGAAGTGAATAATTAGTGCATTGGTTTAACGTTAATATTTAAACAAATATTTAAAAGGCAATGAAACTAAATGTATTAAATTTATAATACCAAATCTTAAAAATCTGAACACCAATGTGTTTAAATGGGGAAGAAGTGAGCCCTGTTGAATCCACTGTTTTTCTTGGCATCACTCTTGATGCAAAGCTTCGGTGGCGCTCCCTTATATCCATACCAAACTAGCAAGTAGACTAAGCTCTGCAGCTTATGCTGCAAAAAAGATTAGAGGTCTCACTGGTGTCTAAACAGCTAGATTAGTTTATTTCAGTTATTTCCACAGCATAATGTCTAATAGCATTTTGCGAAAATTAGTAAAAAAAAATGATATACACTCTGTAAACACTAGGAACAAACACTATATATATATATAAAGTTTAGATATTTTATCAAACAAAAACTGTATAAAAAGGGTTATTATAAAATAAATGAATACGTGGTTGATAATAACCCCTAGGAATGAGGTGGTCGCTTCCAAGCTGTTTCTAAAATAAATTTTGTAAAGAGTTTGTACAACCTTTCATATTTTAAAATTTACTTTAAAAAAATGTCCCGCTGGGTTTCTTGCTAGTTCTTCCCAGGACAGGGGATTTTATTTTTCTAACCAGTGGTAAAGTAAAAATATGACTCAATAAGAATTACATAAATATGATCTACCTATATTGCTTAAAAAATATTCTATTATATTCTATCCCGCACAGTACCTATCGCATTCTGTCGCGGTGCAATGTCATTTTTATTGCTCACACAGAACAACGAAACGAAATGTACAGAATTCGTCCAATCAAAAAAATGGAAAATCAGTTCAATATTCGCGTTATTTGTAGTTAGTGTAAAAGTAGTTAAAGAAATCAATTTCGATAAACTGATCGCGGTCTGAAATGTGATGCACACACCTGTTGATTGTACGTGGTTTCCTGCAACAAATCGGCCGACAGGTCGGGCGAGAAATCGGTCGAGGGTCGACGAAACGCTTCCTCGGCGATCGCGCTGCCGATTTTGTGCGACTCGACCTGCGAATCGATCAGCCGCTGCATCTCCGCGTCGCCCTCTGAAAGCGCACCAGTGACGTCACACGCGTACGCGCACGTGTCTGCGAACAAACGTTGCACGTTCGCCCCGCGATCGATGCCCGCTCCACGGTTTTGTTAGTGTTTATTGATCGGAATGTCAAATTGATTGGTGGTATTGGCTACCGGTTTGTTTTCTTTGCCTGGTGGATAGCATATTATTTTATTAGCAATTAGTCGGTGAGTGAATTGTATAACCTTAGGCGATAGTTGATAGATATCACGCGAATTGCTACATGTTTTGATTCAGTGGGAAGGCTGTAACGAGATTGTTAAGGTAATTAATTGAATAATATATTATTTTTAACTAATTTCAAAAAAGGAGAAAGTTCTCAATTCGCATGTTTATACTTTTTTTTTTATGTTTTAGGGCATAATTCCGTCATTTATAGACGGATCTGGCAAAATTCTTTTTTGTTCGAAAGAGCTTGATTCCGAAATAATTCTATTTAAATTTAGTAAAGACCTGATGACGAATTTCGGAGACAGATAACAGAAATCTTCAATAAATACCAGCAAATCAACCGCGATTGCTGCAGTCTCATATCTATGCTTTGTTTACGCAATCACACAACATCATCACGCCTGTACCCTCCTAAAGGGTTACGCAGATATGTTCAGTATACCACGGTACACCTTCATTTCAATCAAAGTTGTTATATTGAAGTCGGTTGTACAATATTTTTAATTTTACTACTTGTTGCTCTTTTATATTACATGTAATTTGTTATCGAATGTCGTTAAGTAAATAAAGTGACTCACCACGTGGCAGATAATATGAATTTAACTATTTGTTACAACAAGCTAATCAGAAAACAATTTTGCTTAAAATGATTAACTGATGAGCAGTATTTTTTTCAGTCAATAATGTATAATACGTATAATATATTATATAACATAACGAAGTAAAAATAAAACAACTGGTGAGTAATATAAGCGATATAATAAAAAAAAATCCTACAAAGTATAAAAAACACAGCAAAAAACAAACGTAAAGAAAATAAAATAAAACCGAAAAAACAACGTAAAATTATTGCCTTCTAATTAACAATTTACAACTATAACAATAAATCTAACTTGCCATCAACGCAATTTTGTGATACGTCAATACATTAGTTCGGTATATCCCTTATAATTAACTTTCTAAAGTTAAACAGCGAATTTTATTTAAGTGACAAGCTGCCGTCTTCAGACTGTAAATTGTAGGTATATATCACGTATTAGATTACTTAGCGCTAATGGGTTTTTACAAAGCGTTATGCTACTTGGTTTAATATTAATCTGTGAAAAGTTGGTTTGCCCTGAAATAATTAAGCTATGGACAGGATAATATTTTGTTGGATGCAATTAGTCAATGAACGTTATTTATTGCTCGAGTTGCGTGATTTCCTTATAAATTGAAAAAAATAATAATAACCTTATCGTTTTAAAATGAGGTTTCTTTGACGGGAGAAGAAACAGCAATAGAAGCACCGCAGGTTTCCGGTTATGCAAAACTATTGGAAAACCGTCTATTGTCTATTGCAACTCCGTTACTCTCTCCTTAAAAATAAAATCTTAGTTATTTTAATGCTTCAAGTACAATGTATATATGATAAAGTTTACACCAAGCACCGATTATGACAATAAAATTTATTAATGATATATTGACAATTAATTTACAAGAGCACTTTATTAGAAAAGCAATGGTTCAATGGCATTAATAATATTGATGATATGATGATTTTCGTACGGGTGGTTCAGTTGCTTACACAACGTGAATTGATTTGACAGTGCGTCGCGTTACATTTTAACTCCTAAATATGGTGCATAATATGTTAAATAACTAGGTAAGGTGTTACGTTCTACATGTGAACTGTACAATGTGTATACTACGTGCGTGCGTGGCTACGTGCGTTCGTCAGTGCGTACGTGCATGCGTATATGCATACGTGGGTGGGTGCGTGAGTGCGTGCATAGATGCGTGCGTGTGTGAGTGTATATGAAGCGAAGAGTTAAAACCGTGGAAAGCTGGTTAGTATATATATATAAATCATATCTGATTTCGTGAGTTTAGCATTAACTCACTTTGCTGTTTGAACATATCGTAGGTGACGTGGGTCTCGTGCTGTGGAGGAGCATACGACTCCGTCACCACAGTGTTGTTCGCTACGAGGTATTCCACGTCTTTCGTCCACGGATTCCTGAAATTGATAAATATTATATTTATTAGCATCTACACACAATACACTACGAAAAGTAAGTAGTGAAATCCGGCACACAAAATTAATTATAACAAAAATCTAATTTTTTACAAGTTTTGTATTGGCAGTATAAAAAAATATTAGAGCCAACTTTAATGAATTAAAAACATTAAAATAACGTCCACATGATAACTTCTAAGTAAGTCATTGAGTGTTAAGACACGGAGTAACAATTAAACCCCGTTCAATTTCATTTACTTTCTTTTATTTTTCATTTTGTTTGATGGCAAGTAAAAATATATTGACAAGACATAACTAGATATTTCGTCAATATATCAAAATAAATTACAAAACGACATTCGCGTGTTGGCAACAATTGTAAGTTGTAACGCTTTTCAAAGATTAGTTGATAATTATGGCAAAGAACTTTCTTAAAATGGAAAATGCTGTAAATAGAGAAAATATATTTGAGTTAAGTATTTTGTATAATCGGTGTTAGAATATCCACCATCCCATATAATCCCACGGTTGTCATAAGAGATGACAGAAACAAACTGAATCATCGATGGTCAGCAGCGTTTTCCATGTAACAGTTGAATAAAAATAAACAAACTGTACTGCGGTTGCCAAAGCATGCCAAGCGCGACAATAAAGGCAAATTCTCCCTAAAACAAAAAAGGTCATATCTCCGGCAGTTTATTATATGTAATATCGGATAATGATAAAAAATCTATTTCCAAACATACCTGAACGGCTTGAAATGCGTAGTAATCCGCGCTGAAGTGCCATCTTTTTTTCTGAAACTGTATGGGGGCGTGTGCATGGAGTCTTGTCGCAGGATGGCCGCCTTATGAGTGCGAGCGACTGCAGTCAATTCGGGGGCACTCACGTACTCGTACAAACTTGTGCCTAGTAGCTCTTGTGGTAAAAAGCCGAGAGCTAGTGTCACTCTGAAAATTTAAAACAACGTAACCTGTAAATTTAAGATGATGATAATACTTGACGGCGCCGTGGCGCAGTGGCTTAGCAATGATTTGTTGCGCTGGGGGCCGCGGGTTCGAATCCCACACGGAACAAGTAATTGTATGAGCTACAAATAATTGTTCCGGGTGTGGATGTTTGTCCTCGTGCAATTTGTGTTTGTAAACTGCCTCCGCGATACAGGAGAAAATCCTAGCGGGGGTAACGTTTTTTAAAAAGATTAAAAAGCTCCCATCCGCCAAACCCGTACCGTCCGATAAGGAACTTCGTTCCAAAAACTGCGGTTGCCGACCTGCCTGCCAAGCGAGCAACTACGGCAAATATCCCTCCCTATGAGACATAATCTCTGGGAAGCCTATGTTCAGCAGTGGGCTCTAAAGGTTCTATATTGGAGCTATCTCCAATCTTATTGTTAGTATATTTTAGTACGTTGAGACGAATTCTACAAATATATTCAAATGTTGACGTCGCGGGAACAACCAAATAGGACATCAATAACTAACATCTAGTCAAAAACAAAGAGAAGTTACACCTTACAGTGAAATCTACTCACCTCTGATCAACAAAAAGGAACTTGCCATCCATGGCATGCCTGGAAATGTATTGGAGACGTCTAAACGGTGGCGGCGCCGGCGCCGGCGTCGGCGCTGGCTGAATGAGGACGGGAGTAAGGTCGGTTAAAGCACGTCCTAGAGCTACGAGACAGGAGAGGCTACTTGTTTCTTCTTCAACAGCATCACCAGTAATGGCACCTTCCCCCTCCATTTCCACCGGTGTCCAGGACTTGAGATATCCTGGACAGGAAGAGATTAGGTGTTTACTGCTTGAGTCAAAAATACATTTCTAAGCCACCTGCGTCGATCGGGTTCCTGCACGTCTTACAATGTCGTCACTGGCTCACACTTCGCTTACCGATTCGAGACTGCCACTCGAGAAACTTTCTTCTCCAATGGTTGCCTGTTCTTCTTTTCTATTAGGATGTGTCGGTTACTCTAGTAAATTAAGCTTAATAAGAATAGTAGGGGCGCCCATGATGCTAAATGGGGATTTACTCGAGCGTCGTGGGGACCTTTTAGTAGATTAGTTGATAGGAAGAAAAACAAGTTATAAACATTTTATAACTTGTTTTTCTTCCTCTTCCTGTGGCGGTGGAAGTGTCTACAGATTTTGAAAAATGTAAAAAAAATAATTACATGGGAATACGCGTGTCAGATATTACAAATAACAATATAACAAGCCAGAGCGTCGTACATATACGAACGCTTTGTTTTGTGATCATCTGTGATGGCGTCTTACGGTTTATACAAAGGTTGGTGATGGCGTAAAGGCGATGCGACGCCACGGACAGCAGTGTGGGTGTGGGGATCGTGCGAGAGAGTAAAAGATAGGGAAAAAGTGAAAGGGAGAGAGAGGCGCTGAATGGGGTATACATGCTTTACTACAGATGATCTATGAGTATTAACTTTGTATTTATGTATATTTATATCCATATATATGTATTTATGTATGTTTATATTTGTTTATTGGCATATAAATATATTTATATTATGAATATGATGTGCGAATATATATTTATATATATTCTATGCATTTAATTATAATATTATATCTGTTTTGTTATTTATAATGTGTATTAATTTTAGTTTCAATTTTTTTTTCATTTCTTTTAATTGCTAAATCTACGACAAATTCTCACCACGCCATGCGTTGACTGGTAGAGAATGCCTTTAGGCATTATGTCCGACCTTTGAATCCTTTTTTTTCTAAAGGGACGCCATAAAGTTTTTAAATAAATAAATAAAATAAGAAGAGTGATATTTCTTTTCACGTAACGATACGTAATATTTCGATAAGAAAATACTGATTTTAACAAAATTATATATGGCGTCAAAGGGTGTAGCAGGAGTCCCGCGCCTCGGGCTTCGGGTTTTCCCCCAATTAGAGCTAGTGTTGGGCCACGTTGTTCTCGAATATTATTTTAATAACATGATTTCTTTTGTAATAATTACAATATAATTATAGTATTAGAAGTAAAGATCCTTTGTATTCCTAACCCATATGGATCATAAAATAAAACATTTAATAGCTTGATTAAATAGGAACATAACAAGGTTTAATCAGGGCCGCGCCGACCCCCCACAGCGCCTGTGTGCGAAACCTATGCGCCTCTTTTTTTCACAAATCTTCATGTTTCAACTTATGTTTTTTTTTTATTATTTGTTAATTTTGACCGAAACAAATGTTCTCCAGTTTTATATACTTAGATAATATTTTCCTAAATAAGTAAAACCAGTTCGCTTCCCCTTGCCAATTACTTCGAAAAATAAAACACGAATTTAATTTTTATATACTTTATTTATGATGTTATATCTAATTGTATACTTAGATAATATTAATAACAAAATAGCCGACTTTTTTAATAATACTGATTGAACTATTACGTATGCTATGTTTAAAAAAAACAACAAGAGTCTAAAATATGTAAGAATATAAACATACTTAAATTATATTATTTCCACTCTTCTCGCTTTTATGTTTGCGAAATCCTTCATAATCTCGTATATGTCTATATGGTCTAATATGGCCTCCTCTATTGATATTGTTGCAAAATTTATTAATCTTTCCTGGCTCATTATTGAGCGTAAGTAATTTTTTATAAGTTTTAATTTAGAAAAGGTCCTTTCCGCGCTTGCGACGGTAACTGGTATAGTTAGCAAAATTCGTAATGCTATGGTAATGTTAGGGCAAACCGCTATCAAATTGTTTAAATATATAAATTCGAGAATTTTCACTACATCATTATTTAATTTTTTGAAAAGAGACTGACACGAAACAATTTCTTCACACAAATCATCGGCGTTAATATCCAATGTATCATTTGCAGTAAGTTTTTTTCTACAAACCATGATAGCTACTTCTTAATCGGCTTTGATCTTGGTCATCACTTAGTTTGAATAAAAAATTAAACACGTCATTTTGATTATTCAATAAATTAAATCTTTCTTCTACAGAGGATAAAGCTTGATCCAATATATAAAAAAATACATTAATTTTAAAAGCGGTCTTCGGATCATTTATAGTATGGTCTTCGTGTTCATAATCAAAACTCTTTGGAGTCTTACGACGTCTTAGGGGTCTGGATCTGGAAGTTTCAAATTCAGCCTCGACATTTAATTTTTCGGCAATTTTCATGGCATAATTTACAATTTCCTCAAAATTTGCGTCGGTTCTAATGTTGATCATAATCTTCTTTAATTCCGTTAACGCATCTAAAGCAACTGCAGAATTTTGCTCACAAAATTTACTTTTGTCAAAGTCATATGCTATATATTTAGTGAAAAAATGAATGAAAAGGAGCATATTTTTTCTGCTAGACATTTAGCGTCATATTTTGCCTTCTGATCGTATGATCTACCATTTGATATTTCATATAAGGCATCATAAATTTCTGGTAAATTTGTAAAGAGCGGTTTGATAGCATCTATTCTGCTTGACCATCTCGTTTTAGACAATGGTTTTAAGGTCATATTTACGACATATTTTTTTAATACATCCCATCTTTTGGTAAAGGACAAAAATATTTATATAATTCTTGCACAATACTAAAAACTCCAGTCGTATGATGATTGAGATTAGCAGCGTCATTTACTATTAATTTTAAACTATGGCTAGCGCACGGTACATAGAAAGCGCGGGGATTTTGATCCAGCAATCTTTTTTGAAGACCATTATTCTTACCGCGTATATTTGATCCATTATCGCGCTGTCTCCTTAAGTTATTTATGTCCAAATTAATTTCGGTAAAAACATTTTAAAAAATTACCATTGTTACGGTCGTATAATTTTTGGGTTTGGCCACGAAAAACCATATTTTGTGTACTTAGAAATTGGACCACATATATTATTCTTTTGATTACATCGTACCAGCGCTGCTTTTCATCAACCTCTAAAAGTTTTTGTTGAATACTATCAAGTGTTTTATTTTTAACAGCGTGATATAAATCTGTCCATTTTTTATAATTAATGAAATGAACAGAATGTTTCTCATGTCTGCTGCAATACAAAGCTAGATGTTGCCAATCACTAATTCCCTCGCAGAATTTATTGTTATGTTTTGATTTAAATAGCTTGCAACAGAAGCAATAAATGGCATTTTTGGACACTGAATACAGCAGCCACTCTCTGTGATACTTTTCACTGTTTCCTAAATGCCTTTCATAATAATACTCGGAAAATTTTCGCCCCGAAGAGTCACGCGGAAAATTATACTGTTTAATTGGATTTTGTATTAAATACTGGATCAAAGTAGCATTGAAAACTTTTGGCCAGAGTCCAGGGTCATCTTTGGAAAAAGTTGGTATTAGTGACGATAATTGTCTTGGCGGTGACAATGGTGTATCAGGCAGAGGCACGGACGTAACTTCGGCGGCATCATCTTAAATTAAAGACAAACAAACAAAGACACATGAGTACCTATCTACCTGTCTGAATAAACTGATTTATCTATCTATGAATAATTATGTATGATAAAATAAATAAATAAATGAGTATTATTCGACAATCAAACTCCGCCGTCTAGTCCTAAGTTGAGCAGGGCTTGTAATAAAATTAAAAAAGAAAATGTGTTTTATTTTTATTTTGACATTAAAGTTATATTTATTTGTATAGAAAATAACATAAAAAGAACGTACCTGAAGCGTTTTTGAATCAGATTTTATAACATCTTCATCGATAAAATGACTGGTTTCTGTCTCTAATGATTCTTTGGAAGTGGATGGTAGAGCCGTAAAATATTTACTTATTTTAGTTGTGTTTTTATCACGTTCTTCTTCTTCTTGTTTTCTTTTCCTTATTAAATTCTGGTAACCAGATAATTTCTTTTTTTTATTTTGGGTAGAATCACTCATCGTGAAAACACGTTAAAACAATCACTAACACACAAACTATATATTTTTTTTAGAGTTAGAACTTAATCTTATTATAAAAAATTAATGCGCACCTTGCACGCACTTTCAATTGACTGAGTGTTCAATTGTTTTGGCACTCTCGTTCCTTAAAGTCGGGGAATCCCCGTGACCCCACCCCGCTTGCGTCGCACGCAGCGCGTCGGGTTACGTTCATAATTCATTCAAACAAACTCACGGCGGTTCTTTTGATTTTAACGCTGAGCTCGTAACTAATGTTAACTAAAACCCAAAGCGTAAAATTAAACCAGACACGTGAATATTATCTTAGAAGAATTGTACAATAAGCGCATTATAATTATGTTTTGTTATTTACAAGGCATACGTTGCGCCTATTTCACCTACTTACTTATCGATACTCCACTACAAAGAATATGTTGTTGTGTAAGTGTAACAAAAATAATTTCGATGGCGGCGCCTCTATTGTCTTGGCGCCTGTGTGCGCCGCACACTACGTACACAGGGGCGGCGCGGCCCTGGGTTTAATGCGGTTAAATACGTATCTAATTTCAGTTTTCCGAAAAGCCGCGAATTAACGAATAAGTGGACGATAGCGATAAAATGGCCCAACTGGGAGCCAACATTAGGAGTTCTGTATGTACCTTGCTACGCTATGACAGATTCGCAGTTTATAGTTGAATGTGAAAATGATTTGGCGTTACCTGAGACTCTCTATCCGAATCAAAACAAGTGATTTCCTACCTAGCTAGCTATGTAATCAGATTTCTACAGACACTTGCTTGAGAGGAATGTCAAAATGCACTCGTATTAGGAGAAAGAAATCATTTTCACAAATGTATTATAATGAAGATATAGGTGGTCTTATATATTCATCAAATGAAGTAATAGATATTTGTATAAAAGCTGAAACAATAATAAAAAAATACATATTCCAAATATATAATAAATTGAACTTTTTAAAGGGGCAGTAACTTAATTAGATTTTTGTGTTTATTTAATAATCATGGTTTATAAATTCATTCCTGGTTTTATTGATTTGCAAATACATATCATATATTTACTTACCTACCCAATATTTACTAAATACTTACCTATTACTTTAACTATTTAAAATTATAAATTTAATTAAATTAACACTTAAGCTTCAATCATGGCGCATCACTATTTAACCGCTTCATCTATGTATCAGTATCTATAGGATACCTGTTTACACTTGGCATAATAGGCAATGAGCGATAGTCGCGCTCTATAGCTTGCTTATAAATACTCTAAGGAGAACAATATCTGAGGGAACAGATAAACATACAAGCATACATAGCCTACTAAAATTGTAACCATCCTTTTGGCTTTGCCGTAGTTGGGTAAAAATATTCACTTACATGATCTGCGTCAAATCAGAAGACACGAATATACTGCAATCGGTATCGATAATTGAAAATGGGGCAGGCAATGCATGGTGCAGCACTATTTGCCACCCACATATGCACATTACACGCACACTGGTGTATTTTGATTTTGGTCTCGCCCAAACCACTCTATCGGCAGTCTATACTATATTATATCTATGCTATATATTGAAATATTTTGATGTTAAAAATAAGACTTAAAATGATTTTTTCTAAATAAGCTCCTCAAACTACGAACTTACCAGTGCATTGTACGACGCAGTACTTCTTCTCGTTCTGCTTTTTCCTCACTTTGGTGTCTTCATTAGTTTCCTCCTTGACTGGGATGGCGGCAGGATGGGGGTCTGGAGCGGTCGTAGATGTTGCAGCGGGAGGGTTGACTGGAGGGCGGCACTTGATACGGCAGAAAAACGAGCGCCTTGCACCCGGACACAGACGCGAAGTGCCCGCGATCACATCCGCCTTCACTGGCAACATCGCTGCACATATAGTCGCATGTCAGCGGACCGCACCTTCGTATGCGTTCGATGACTTCGTAAAATTACATTACGCATGCCATCGGGGAGGTGGATAGAACATGTCATGCCAATGATATACAAGAAAGTTGGTGCAGTTTAGCGAAAGAAGACAATTTTTAGGCCAATCAAAATGTACATAACGTACTTTTTGTTAGTTATATACATATAATTAATTAGCAACTCAAGAATAATTACTAGCATATATAGAGTTCTCAAAGCAGAACAAAACCTCATGTGACCGAACTCTTTATTCATATGACATTTCCTACAGGACAAAAAAGATAGAGCTATATGAATGTCACCATCTCTCCTTTAGAAGGTTGTAGCCGGTACCGTTTTTATAGCTTTTTCTATACCATAGACAATTCTAGTGATGATAACAATAGAAAAGAACAACCTTATCGATATACTCATTTTGTCTATAGCTCAATAAAATTCAGCATTTGAATAATATTGCATTAGCCATAACACGAAGATTTCATATTTTCGGTTAGATTTTCATAAATTCTTTAGGCCGTTTACTATAATAAATTGGTATCTTTTTTATGTGTAATAATATTAAGTTACGTTAAAATTTCTAGTGGGCCCAAAACGATGTCTGCTTTGGCAGCGCTTTTTCATCAGTTTTACATTAGTTACGTGTAAGCAAATTAATAAAATAAAGTACAAATTCAAACAAAATATTTATTTGCCCTTTACATAGAAAATAAAACGAATTTAACCATATTAAAATAACTTATATAATGTTTATTGTATGTTATATCTATATCACTCATTTCATTTAGTAAAATCTTTGTACTTGCCACAGTTTCTTACAGTTTATAATTTGGCAACTATATGACCGTATCGTGTTTCCCTAACTTAAATAATATTGTACAATTTTATTATTTTTTACTGCGTCCAACATAAGTATTTTCTCGTTTCCTAAATTTTCGTTGTTTAGGATCTCTTGTAATTCTCTCATTTAAGTTTATGTTTTTCTTTTTAAACCTCCACATTCTTTTCTGGAGAGATTTGATTCTCATTAGACGTTTTCTCGAAATCTTATAAGCATTAACCAACTTTTGTTCCAACTTATGTTTAAGTAACTTATCTAAAGCTAAATTTTCTCTAATGTTCATTGGTTCTGGTTCTAGATGGGTAATATCGGTATGTAGTTTAAAAATATTTGTGAAATAATTGCTGCACAACATAATATAAACTTATTCTTTCGTTTTATATAAAATATTATTGATTAATAGTTCTAAGCTCGTTAATTTTACAAGTGCTTACACTATTTTCATATTCTATCAATTTTACACTTCCTCTAGAGGGCGTAGTATCCCTAATCTCCTCTAGTTCAAATATCAAAACGTATTTGTAGGTTTCAAAACGGATGTAATGATATTATTATTAAAAATGCTATTTGCAGGTTTGACATAAATATATTAAGGGAGACGTCATTGAAAATAAAATTAAACATAGTAACTGTATTCTTACGATGTATTTGAGGATTTGTACTCAATTTCAGCTTACGAAATTTCCCTTCGTTAACAAAACAGTGTTGGAGAAGTGTTTTGAGAAAATACGGCTATTCTTTGTCCAATGGTTTTGTGTCCGTGGAATTACTCTCATGCATTTTTTATTCTATTTCTTCATCATTTTTATGCATACTAAAACAACGAAAATATAAAGAATGTCAATATGTTTTTGTCGACTTTACCGATATCTCTTTAAACCAGATCACTATTGTTACAATAAATTATATATTTCAATATATTTTACACATCACACGTCAAACAACTCAGTAAATAATACGACTTTATTAACTTTTTTATTTAGTTGTGTAAAAAGAGACCAAACGTGACCACTTGACATTTCTAATTCCACGCATAAATTACATGAAACATCTTTGAATATATTTGTCTCTTTTTGTCTTACTTGAAAATTAAATTAGAAAAAGTGAGACAAGTATATTGACTCAATATATGTGGAATTGTAGGTTCTTTTCATGCAAACGTATGTATGTAATTACTCTAAGCTTAGTACAATGGATTAAAATAACAAGAACATGTTATACTTATGTTGCGTCCATAGAATATCTATGTGGGCGTAACATAAACATTTTTGATCATCTCGAATAACGCGCTCGTGGCACCCATGTAATTCACTCCTCTTCACGCTGGTTGTTAAAATTAAAACAAATTGATTATAAAAATCGCGTCTTTACGTTTAAAGCTGAACGCACATTTATCCGCATCGTACGCGCCGAATTTTGGAATTCGTTGTATGAAATCATATGAAACCTCGCACATTACACCCGCACCGTACGCACATGAGTAAAGATCCTTACTCTTTACTCTGTGCCGTACGCGCCGAATTTTATAAAATGCTGTAGGTATACGATATCGAAGGACGAATGCTGATGACGTCATATAATGCGGCGCGTGCTGATACTCAGTGTTATCTAATGTTGCCAACTTAGTGTATTTTCCACTACTACTGGTGGTTTCCACTTACGTGATAATTTTTGTATTTTTATAACTTTTAGTTAATTCGTAATTAATTATACATAATTTGATTTTTTACATCGATTATCAATATGAATACTTAGTGATAAATTATTTAAATACTAAACTAAAAAAAAATGTTTAAATTTAATTCAAAAACCCAATTGTACCTGATTACTTAATTATCAATAAAAATACTTACCTCAAACATACAACAAGTCTTTTCTCTGGTTCAAATGGCCTTCTAAATCTTTAGTTTTCCATAGAAAGATATGGTTTTAGTACATGTAGCAATTCTTAAAGTTTCTTGAGTATGTTAAATGCAAATATCTGAAAAATTGTTCATCATCATCTAATAAGTCTTAAAGTAAAGTATATTCCCTTCATATTCTCCATACAATTGCCTTTTTAAATTAATATTATGAATCCAGAATCTTCTTTTTCTCCGAATTTCTTTTTCTTCTTCCTCTGCCAATAAGCAGGCTATTACTATATTTCTTTCCATAGTGATTTCGGGCGATCAATTTCAATGTACCGTTTTACACCAGTGATTGGAAAAAGCTACAAGTTGTTGGTAATAGAAAAGATTTGCGTACGGCGCGAACGATGCGTACGGACAAAAGTGCGAGGCCTTCAGTAAAACACGGCGCGTACGGCGCGTACGATGCGTACGGTGCGGACAAATGTGCGTTCAGCTTAAGTTGTGCGTGTTCAATATATTTTAAGCCTAACAAATAACAATGTTTGAAATATATTTGTATAGATAAATAATTACTTAAGCATATCAAGCGTGATAGTAACATTAATATTTAGAGAAACAGAACGTTGCTTCGAATGAAACCTGTATGAACGATTAAAGATCACCAGTTTTTTATCTGTAGATGTCATTTAAACTAGTACTAACAGATCCTCGGATAGTCTTTGTTTTGTAATAAGCACACATTTTGATTCCAGTATTAACGTTACTACTGTAACAAACCTGGATCTTTTAGACCTTATTAAAACATATTTTTTAATAAGACTGTCAGTGTACAGAAAACTTAATCACAAACAATACTAGAGGTATAAACAACACTATGCGTTGCTATGGTAATGAACGCGCCGTAGTAAAAGTAGCTCACTAACTAATTTAAGCTACGCATAGTACGACAAACCAACAGAAATATCAAACTATAGATCGCGCGCAACTATAGTTGGCCGCGCTCTTGCTGTAATTACTCAGTACGCCGTCGACCTTTGCAACAGTAACACGTTGCATTGATTCCGGCTAGTCTACATAAAACGCACATGAGATTGAAATAGCAAGATAAGTCCACCGATGAATCGGCAAGTTGAAGGAGTAAAGTGCATTTATTTTTTTCAAAAACGTAAAGCCGATACTGACAGATATGAATATAAAATTTATGAAAATATAAATAAATTAGTAGACGAAGCTGCAGGAACATCGGAACGTAGTGTGAGGAGAGTGATTTCCGAAAGTAAAAATTTATTACAAAATACTGGAGATGTCAAATTTACATCTCCGCGTAGACCAAAAGAAATAAAAAAAGAAAATACAAGTTGATGATTTTGACTTAGGAGTGATAAGGCGAAAAATAAACCAATTTTTAAGTTTATAGTTTTTATTCGAAAACTCAATGCTAAATTAAAAGAAGATAACATTTTACATTACAGCTTAACTTATTTGAGAGGACTTTTGCACAAAATGAGATATTCATTCACAAAATGTAAATATAAGCGATCACTTTTAATAGAGAGAGCAAATATTGTTGAATGGCGAGTGAAATAACTGAGGGCTATTAGAAAGTACAGATCAGACAACCGAAATATTTATTTTTTAGACGAAACCTAAGTCAACCAATGTCATAATATTGGAAAATGTTGGCAATCTGAATTGGAGCCTGGATTTTATACTGACATTGGCAAAGGAAGGCGCTTAGTAATAGTGCACGCTGTTAGCAGAAACGGATTGGTCGACGACGTGTTGCTAATTCTTAAATCGAGGGATTATCACGGAGATATGAACTCTACTAATTTTTATAATTGGGTAGATCGAAAATCGATTCCTAAACTCCCACCAACCTCAGTCATTATGTATAATGCAGCCTATCATTGTGTGCAAGTAGAAAAGAAACCAACTATAACAAGTTTGAAACTCCATATGCAAAACTGGTTGCAGAATCACGACGTGCCATATGCCCCCACCATTAACCATTGTCGAACTTTAGAGATTTATTAATATGCCGCAAACAGAAAAAAATGCACTATCGATGAACTTCTGAAAGCTGCAGGTTACTTTTCTAAAGCTACATCAGTACCATCCAGATCTAAACCCGATCGAACTCGTGTGGGCAGATATTAAAAATAACCTGGCTAGAAATCACATAAATGCACCATTAGCCGAAGAAGTTACTATACCCACAAGGTTATATTCTGAATTCTCTGTCGCAAAATGGCAGATTTGTGATGACCATGTCCAAAAAATTTAACAATAATACTGGAATCGTGATATGACGTTTGATAATGTGATAGACGAAATCATTATAAACTTACAAGATGATTCAGACTCAGATCCAGAAAGTTCAGAATCAAGTGATATTAAGGATATGTCAGAATAATAGGCTCGACCTTATTACTTATTCTAGTGCTACATATACCTAATACCTTGTTGCCTCAATCAAAAAATAAAATTAGTATTATTAATATATATATATATAAACATACATTTATATATATATATATATATATATATATGTTAATAATACTAATTTAAAAAAACTTTAAAAGTTATAATGGTTCTTTCATTATTCACTTTACTCATTCACTTAGTAAGTCTGATACGTATCTATTTTAGTTGAAGTGCGATATCTTGAGATAAATAAATCTGGATATTGAATAATTAATCTCATGTGCGTACCGTTCATTAAGCAACCCCCGCCTCATCACTGTCGCCACCTAAGGCGCGGCCAACTACGAGTAGTAGCGCGCGGACTATAGTAGTTTGTTTTGTTGGTTGCCTCAGTCTTGTTTTGATTGAAAAATTACAATGGATAGAGTAGCAAAGAAGAATATGATAATCATCTCTTTGAGAGAATAAACCTACAAAGAATGATCGAAGTAGTGTAGTGGTACGTGACTTTCAAAATCCTTTCGATTGTGCGGATGATTTTGAAAGTCACTAACGATTTTCAAAATATATTGTTACGACCACGGTTAAAAATATATAAATCAATACGAATAGGTCTATACTAATATAATAAATCTTTTTTTTTTGTTTGTTTAACACGCCAATCGCTGGAACTACCAGTTTAAAAATTATTTCTGAATATTATAGCCAGATTTGTGAGGCTATATAGCATTTGGCTACACCTCTCAGCTAGCATTAAATGTTGATTTTTGTTAAACAAGTCTGAAGATAGAGCGCTTCCGAAATGATTTATTCGCTTGCGCTAGCGTAATGGTTAACGTAAATACAATGTCCTACAAAAATATAGATTTTTACCTACTCCATCTAAAAAAAGTCCGCGATACTATATTTCTTATACATAAGCCACAATAAGGTATTTTATGACAAAAAAAATATTGAAAATTAAAAAGTCATTTATGAGCGTTATTATTAGGTATGGCATATTAATTCTTAGGAATGAAAGTTACTTCATCATCAAGACAATTTCATGGAGACAAACTTTGCTCTTTATAGCATTTTCAGGTTACTTTAAGAGATAATGAAAAATTAAAATAATTCCAACGCTAAGCGCCCGACGAGAACCGAAAGAAACCAGCAGTGGACGCTTCTATTAGTTCAAATATTCTAGACAGCAATGTATGGAATAATGGACAAAATTAAAGGAATACTTTTATTAAAAAACTAGCTGTGTTCCACGGTTTCACCCGCGTATATTATGATATGATACCTCGCTCTTATTGTTCTATTATTTTAGTTACATTTTATAGTGCGGGGGGGGGGGGGGAGTTAAAATTTTTCTTTTCTCTATAACGTACATATGCCAATATATAAAAGTACTCTATTATTTTTGTCATTTTTTTAGCTAAATTGATTGAACTATATGAGCGTGGTGTCATGTCATGTCGCGCGGCTCTGACGCGTCATATACGCGGGTGAAACCGCGGGACACAGCTAGTTATTATTATATATAGTTTTGTTTAAAGACGTGTTATGAAGGGCTATAATGACAACCTTCGTTTAGACCCTAATATGACCATATGACATTTATTTATCCGTCAGTAAACTTGAAGTCGCATCAGAAGAACGTTACCAATCACAGCGCAGCAACAACATTTCTACTGTATTTATGAAGGTAATGTTTGTGAATTTGGGCATAAATATCTTGTCGAGTCCACCATCATCATAGTAGAAATCATATTAGATATTAAGTTTTCTGAAGGTCGTTCAAACGCGCTAAAAATAATAGCATAAAAAAGTATAGAAATAAAAAAAAAAAACAGAACATTTAAACAACACAATAATTGCTAGTAATAGACTGGTGCCATCATTATCATCTCGTACTAACTTTTGGCATCAATGAGGCGCTCCCGAGGACTGAGATCTGACGAGGAGAGCTGCTCCTTCACCTTCGCAACATCTTTTGGGTGCAAAATGTCGAACAAGCTCTGCCCCAGTAATTCCGACTGAAACATTGTAATGACGATTTTAGATTAAGATTATTAGTTAATTAATGAGTAATTAATTATAAGTAGCATAGACCGTTCCTACTCCTGGGTGTCGTAAGAGACGATTGTATGAGGGGACGGAAAATTATAAACATATTTTAAAGCGTTCGATCTAGTGCGGTGTAAGGAGGTTTAAAGAAAAATATCTGGGTCATTGTTTAATATTAGTTATTAGACAACACCTTGGATCAATTTATTTTTGACAGAGCTTCTCTATCAGGGTTAGTCTAGTCTAGTTAGTAGAGCCATTCAGACCAAAAGCTCGCTGTAGATTGAACACTACGCCAGCAAACCGCGTTCGATCCCCGCCGCACCAATGAAATTGTTAATTGTAATTTTAATCGCTGATTTACTAACGCGCTCTGTGGCAACATCGCTAGGAAACGTGAATGTGTGTAGAAGTAAAACATTTCGACCACATGCGAAGTCTGCCAACGAGCACTGTGGCAGCGCAGCGTAGCGAACTAGTTGCTCCTTAACCCTATCAGAAATGAGATAAGACTAGTGCTTAGCAGTGGCTGTAATTTTTATTTGTCGTTTTAATTATGTCTTTTGACTAGCAGCAATTTATCTAGTGTCAGAAATAAGTGAAAAGTTGAAAAACTTGAATCGGAAGATGCCCGGCTAAAGACACAACAGCTTGTAGCATTAGTTAGAGTATCAGAAACAACACCTTGGCATGACGAAAGTCTGTGCAAGATGGGTTTCGAGAATGCTTTCTCCGCACCAAGAACACAAAGCGTCGCGTCGAAAGTTGTCGCGAGTTTTTTGACCGCTGTGGAGAGCAAAGGGAGAACGTTAAGGCCCGAATTGTAACTGGCTATGAAACTTGGGTTCACCATTATGAACCTGAGTCAAAGCAAGAGTAGATGCAGTGGCATAAAATTAGCACACTCCCTCCTAAGAAGTATAAGGTGTCTCAATCGGCCGGAAAGATCATGCCGACGATCTTTTGGGATACAGAAGGTATCCTTTTGATTGATTATAAAGAACCATGGTGTTTCCATAACGGGAGAATATTACGCTTCTTTACTAGATCAATTAAAAGAAGCTATTAAAAAAAAGCGAGGAAAGCTTACAAAAGGCGTGCTCCTTTTGCATGACAATGCGCCCGTGCACACACGCCATGTTGTGACGGCTGCCATTTACCGGTGCGGTTTTAAACAACTGCACCACCCACCCTACAGCCCCGACCTGGCCCATTTATTCTGTTTGTGTACCTAAATAAATAAATTAAAAAATTCAGAATATCTAAAACCAGAAAAGAAATAAAACTTACCTGGTCGAAATTCAACGTTCTGCTCACAGATTTCGAAACGTATAGCAGACGGCCGCGATCGCATCCCACTACTAAGAGAAACGCATCGTGGGCTGCGTGAAGGACAAGGGAGTTGAGCTCGCGCTCTGAGAGAAAAGCGGGACACGGGCGTGCGGTCAAAGGGCCGGCAGCAAGAGCTCCTCTAACGGACCTCAGATGCTGCACCGCCATCCTCAACACCGTCAACTTATCAAGCTTGCGGGCCATTGCACCGCACATGGGTATCATCGCGCTCAGCTCCGATATGTAGGTGTTCATCTTGTCGCGACGACGCTTCTCGATCTCGCTGTGATTCTGTCTGTCAAGTAACGTGTTTTTGACTATCTCCATAATGTTCTAATCTTTATAGTAGTTTTGCAACATTTTTCATTTGACATAGTTCATAGACATAGGTTGTACTATTTTTTTGTGCAGTGGAAAACATGAACATATATTAACTAAATACTAATGAAGGCTAATAATCTTAAGCTCACCAGATGTCAATCATTGAAGAGTTGCGATTAAATTATGTTTTTAGGTTTCTTAGCTAATACAAAGGGGAGACGGCATAAGCAACTGTGCACTGTGATTCTAAGTAGGTCCTGACGTCATCATAGTGGGCGTGGCTTTAACTGTCAGCATTCGTCCTGTGCGCTTATGTGTTGAAAAAATCGCAAATCGGTGTATTTTCGTAGTATTAATAAGAAAAGGATGAAGTGTTGTGTTTTATTGTGTAAAAACTACTCAGATAGACGCTCTGATGTTATGGATGGCATCACATTTCATTTGTAAATATTTTTACACCTAATTTATTAAAATAGTTCTAGAAAAAATCTCTTTGCGTCGGCTTTCAAATATAATTAAATATATTCAACACTAGATGGTGACACTTTGTGTCATGTAAACTAAAAATATAAAGATCCGTAGAGCTCAGTATTGGTAAAATAATCATACGAAGGTGCTGAAATTTGTTTTGCATTCAGACATAAAGAAATTTTAATCGCAAAATATTATTTTTATAGTTTATAATCATTTTGAGAACAGGCCGTATTCTCGACAAGTAAACCTCATAAAAATGACAAAAAGACAGGGCCCTAATTAGAATTCAATTATTTTTCCCAGTAATCCAACTTTTAATATTAAATGCAGGAAATTGTACTTAGGCTGATTTTTACGAAATGTTTAAGTTATATTTAAGTGACATTCTATATGCAAAGAATCACTTAAATACAAATTAATGTTCTTAGATTGGCATTTAAAAAGTGCATTCGGATGCCTAATTTGGAATAAAATATTTATATTTTAATTGATTTGTAAATAAAATTATATTAATTATAATAATTTGTCTATTATTTGTTCTCCCTCAGAGATATTAAGTAGTATAACCCACACATAAATAATAGTCCAGCCGTTTCTGCGTGAAAAAATTACACATACTCAGTGTGGAATAAGCTCAAGGAGACAGAAAGAACACACAAAATTTCGCCTTTATAATATTAGTGAGATAAGTAGGATATTTAGTTCCAAATTAAATATCCTACTTAATATTGAACATAGAATATTTAGTTTCAAAGAGATTTTATTTTATGGATTAATAATAATAATAATAATAATAATAATATAATTTATTTTCTCACCACATTAAATTAACAAAATCGATTTTTGACAAAAAAGAAAAGGCATGGATGGATAAAATAAATATTTTGAAGGTTGACTTTTACGAAATGATAAACATATTTAAATTGTATTTAAGTGATTCTTTGCATATAGAATGTCACTTAAATATAACTTAAATATTTCGTAAAAATCAGCCAAGTACAATTTCCTTCATTTTAATATTGAATGTTGGGTTACTTGGTAAAATAATTGAATTCTAATTGCGGCCCTGTCGTTTTGTTATTTTTTATGAGGTTTACTTGACGATAGATGGCGGCCTATTTCCAAAATTATTATGAAAACTATAAAAATATTATTTTGGTAATTAAAATTTCTTTGTCTGAATGTATTTGCTTCATGAGATAGACGCTCCGATACTATGGATGGCATCACATTTCATTTGTAAGTCATTTTACACCTAATTTATTAAAATAGTTCTAGAAAAATCTCTTCGCGTCGGCTTTCAAATATAATTAAATATATTCCACACTAGATGGCGACACTTTGTCCTGTGTGTAAAAATATAAAGGTACGTAGAGCTCAGTAATGATAAAATAATCATACGAAGGTGCTGAAATTTGTTTTGCATTCAGACATATAGAAATTTTAATCGCCAAAATTTTATTTTTTTAGTTTATAACATTTTGTGGACATGCCGCCATCTACCGTCAAGGTAGCTAAGCTACATTGCAACATCGATATGGAAAGATTCGAGTAGTTTTACTATTTATCGGTAGATGTAGATAGTGTAGTGGGCGGGGCTTTGCATCCCCTCACTTCGCAAATTGTCACGCATTGTTACATAGTGAAATTTAATTACAACGTCTCCTCTTTGTATTTGCTTCATGCAAAAAATGCCTCAGTACTGTATGTATTCTTTTATTTTCTTCACATTTTTATTTTTTATAATTCTTCTACTTTTCGGAATATCCGTAGTTTGATTTATCGATTTCTAATCCAATTCATCTATAATACAACTAATATTTCTGTAAAATACATTAATCTCTACTCTTTTCTAACAAATTAACTTCCCCGCTATGAAATCTCTCAAATATTTCACCTTGATCGGACCAAATGAAAAAAAAAACAATGACTTACTTTTTATCAGGAAGTGTACGTGTGGAGCGCGTTTCGTCGGTGCCATCATCATCACACGTGCTGCCCGTGCCGCTGTTAAATAGACATTTATCAAGCATGTTAGACTTTACAATGTATATTTAAAACTAGCGATTCGTAACGGCTTCGCCTGAGTGGGATATATTAATGTGGTATTATTTAGATTTAATATAATCAACAGAGACCATTTATATCATATTTGAATTATTTTCAATTTAGAATAAACTCCGTATTTCGGATAAACTATAACCAAGATCACTTCCGACGTTGCTTTCTATCTGTTCGTAAAGTTTCATTACAATCGGTTCCACCATTCCGAAGATCATCCATAGCCCAGACAGACAGACAGACCGGTATCATACCGGGACGTCAAACGCTTTAGTCCCTCTACCCAGTGACCAGGGCCGCACCGACCCCCCACAGCGCCTGTGTGCGAAACCTATGAAGGGCGTCTTTTTTCACGAATCTTGATGTTTCGACTTATGTTTTTTTATTATTTGTTAATTTTGACCAAAATATATGTTCTCCAGTTTTATATACTTAGATAAATTTTCCTAAGTAGGTAAAACCAGTTCGCTTCCGCTTCCCAATTACTGCGAAAAATAAAACACGAATTTAATTTTTTATTTATGATGTTATATCTAATTGTATACTTAGATAATATTAATAACAAAATAGCTGAATTTTCTAATAATACTGATTTAACTATTACGTATTTTTTTTTATAGGAGAGGGGGCAAACGAGCATGCGGCTCGCCTGATGGTAAGTGACTACCATATATGCTACTTATGTTTTAAAAAAACAACAATAGTCTAAAATATGTTAGAATTTTTAAATTATATTACTTAATTTAATTACTTAAATTATATTATTTTCACTCTTCTCGCTTATCTGTTTGCGAAATCCTTCATAATCTCGTGTATGTCTATATGGTTTGATATGGCCTCCTCTATGGATTGTTGATTTGTTAATCTTTCCTGGCTCATTGTTGAACGCAGGTAATTTTTTATAAGTTTTAATGTAGAAAAGGAACTTTCCGCGCTTGCTACGGTAACTGGCATAGTTAGCAAAATTCGTAATATTATGGTGATGTTAAGGCAAAGAGCTATGAAATTGTTTAAGTATATAAATTCGAGAATTTTGACCACATCATTGTTTAATTTTTTGAAAAGAGACTGACACGACAATTTCTTCACACAAATCATCGGCGCTAATATCCAATGAATCATTTGCAGAAAGTTTTTTCTGCAAACGGTGACAGCTACTTCTTAATCGACTTTGATCTTGGTCATCACTTAGTTTGATTAAAAAATTAAACACGTCATTTTGATTATTCAATAAATTAAATTTTTCGTCTACGGAGGATAAAGCTTGATCCAATATATAAAAAAACACATTAATTTTAAAAGCGGTCTTCGGATCATTTATAGTATGGTCTTCGTGTTCATAATCAAAACTCTTTGGAGTCATACGACGTCTTAGGCGTCTGTATCTGGAAGTTTCAAATTCAGCCTCGACATTTAATTTTTCGGCAATTTTCATGGCATAATCTCCAATTTCCTCAAAATTTGCGTCGGTTCTAATTTTTATCATAAACTTTTTTAATTTCATTAAAGCATCTAAAGCAACTTGAATATTCATATCGATGGACTGCAGAATTTCGCTCACAAAATTTACTTTTGTCAAAATCATATGCCATATATTTAGTGAACAAATTAATGAAAAGGAGCATATTTTTTCTGCTAGACATTTAGCGTCATATTTTGCCTTCTGATCATATGATATACCATTTGATATTTCATATAAATTTGTAAACAGCGATTTGATAGCATCTGTTCTGATTGACCATCTTGTTTCAGACAATGGCTTTAAGGTCAGATTTATGACAAATTTTTTTAATATACCCCATCCTTTGGTAGAGGACGAAAAATATTATATAATTCTTGCACAATACTAAAAAATCCAGACGTATGATGATTAGAGATTAGCAGCGTCGTTTACTATTAAATTTAAACTATGGCTAGCGTACGGTAGATAGAAAGCGCGGGTATTTTGATCCAGCAATCTTTTTTGAAGACCATTATTCTTACCGCGTATATTTGATCCATTATCATAGAATAGAATAGAATAGAATGATTTTTATTCAATATGGATTATTACATAATACTTATTGAAAGTCATTATTTTATTTACCACTGGTTCGAAAAATACCTCTGTCCTGGGAAGAACCAGCAAGAAACCCAGCGGGACTTTTTTTTTAAACATAATTTCTCTTAACAATAATTTTGTTTATACAATTTTAAATGAATTTTCATAGAACCTGCATGGTGGCGATCACCTTATTCCCAGGGGTTATTTTCATTCATGTATGCCTTGATATTATAATAATCCTTTTTGTACAGTTTTTCTTTAACAAAACTTTTAAACTTGTTTATTGACAAACTTTGAACATGTTCTGGGATTCTGTTGTAAAAGCGTATACATTGCCCCATAAATGAATTACTAATTCTGTGGAGTCTAGTAAGTGGCATTACAAGCTTATGTTTGTTCCTAGTGTTTAAGGTATGAACATCCTTATTCTTATTAAAGCTATTTATGTTTTTATGTACATACATTACATTTTCATAAATATATTGCGATGCCAAAGTTAATATGTTTATTTCTTTAAATTTTTCTCTAAAGGACTCTTTACAATTTAGATTATAAATCGCCCGTACGGCTCTCTTTTGCAAAACAAATATAGTTTCAATATCAGTCGCATTACCCCATAGCAAAATTCCATAAGACATTACGCTATGAAAGTAACTAAAATACACTAACCTAGCTGTCTCAACATCTGTGAGACTTCTAATCTTTCTTACAGCATATGCTGCAAGAACTAAGTCTGCTTGCTAATTTAGATATATGGGGCCCCATTGAAGTTTCGCGTCAATAGTAATACCGAGAAAAACAGTGGTATCCACAAGACTCAACTCCTCCCCATTTAAGGGCACATTGGTTTTCGAATGTTTTACATTAGGTATTGTAAATTTAATACATTTTGTCTTATTGCCGTTTAAGAGCAAATTGTTGGCGTTAAACCAATGTACTAGTTTCGATAGAGCATTATTTACATCGTCATATTTAATTGACTGCCGTTTCAGTTTGAAAATTAAAGAGGTATCGTCAGCAAATAATACTATATCGTGATTGTCCTCTACAAGATAAGGTAAGTCATTAATATAGATTAAGAACAGGAATGGGCCAAGAATCCTGAAGAAGCCCTGAGGAACACCCATTGATACTACCGATCCGGAGGAACATTTACCATTAATGACGACTTTTTGAGTTCTGTTACTTAAATATGAAGTAATAAGTTTAAGCGCCAAATTTTTTACACCGTAATGTTGTAGTTTCCTGATTAATGTATCATGATGAACACAATCGAAAGCCTTGGAAAGGTCACAGAAAATACCTAAGGCATCTTGTGAATTCTCCCAGGCATTAAAAATATATTTCATAAGCTCAACACCGGCGTCAGACGTCGAGCGACCCCTTGTAAAACCAAATTGATTTTTATGAAGTAATTTATTTGTATTAAAAAAAATTAACAATTGATCCAAAATTATTTCGCTAGCGCCATAGCGCTGTCCCCTTAAGTTGTTTATGTCCAAATTAATTGCGGCTAGTTTTTCTACTATAAATAACGTTAATCCAGCGCCAGTTGTTTCGATAATTGGACAGAAAGCTAGGAAATGCTGTCTTATTTCCAACTTTCTATTTTCTGTGTTAAAATAGACAAATCTTATTATAATACTAATTTGCTCTACGTATGAAACGTCAGGCGTACAATCCAGTATTATTGAAAAATATTTACTAATTTGACATAAATTTAAAATAAAATGTTGAATTTGGTTACCCAGTATGTAAATTATTTCATTTTGGATCTTATCTCCAAGACAAGCCGGCATATTTTTGAAATCAGAATCATTCGTTAGGCGTCGTATATGTTCAGTCATTGAAATATCGAATTTTCCTAACAGTTCAATACATTTTAGAAAATTACCATTGTTACGGTCGTATAATTTTTGGCTTTGGCTACGAAAAGCCATATTTTGTGTACTTAGAAATTGGACCACATATATTATTCTTTTGATTACATCGTACCAGCGCTGCTTTTCAACCTCTAAAAGTTTTTGATGAATACTATCAAAAGTGTTTTATTTTAAAAACGTGATATAAATCTGTCCATTTTTTATAATTAATGAAATGAGCAGAACTTTTCTCATGTCTGCTGCAATACAAAGCTAGATGTTGCCAATCACTAATTCCCTCGCAGAATTTATTGTTATAATTTGATTCAAATAGCTTGCAACAGAAGCAACAAACGGCATTTTTGGAGACTGAATACAGCAGCCACTCTCTGTGATACTTTTCACAGTTTCCTAAATGCCTTTTATAATAATACTCTGAAAATTTTCGCCCCGAAGAGTCACGCGGAAAATTATACTGTTTAATTTGTTTAATCGGATTTTCTATTAAATACTGGATCAAAGTAGCATTGAAAACTTTTGGCCAGAGTCCAGGGTCATCTTTGGAAAAAGTTGGTATTGGTGACGATAATTGTCTTGGCGGTGACAATGGTGTATCAGGCAGAGGCACTGACGTAACTTCGGCGGCATCATCTTAAATTAAAGACAAACAAACAAAGACATATGAGTACCTATCTACCTGTCTGAATAAACTGATTTATCTATCTATGAATAATTATGTATGATAAAATAAATAAATAAATAAATATTTTTCGACAAACAAACTCCGCCGTCTAGTCCCAATCTGAGCAGGGCTTGTAATGAAATTAAAAAAGAAAATGTTTTTTTATTTTTATTTTGACATTAAAGTTATATTTATTTGTATAGAAAATGACATAAAAGCACGTACCTGAAGCGTTTTTGAATCAGATTTTATAACATCTTCATCGATAAAATGACTCGTTTCTGTCCCTAATGATTCTTTGGAAGTGGATAGTAGATCCGTAAAATATTTACTTATTTTAGTTTTAACACGTTCTTAT